AATTATATATTGATTCAGTATGGAAATGGCTTCAAGAGTTGAGATTGCTGAAGATAGTGACAACAACAAGGGAAGCATGTGGGTTTTGGATCAGAAACTTGATCAGCCAATGGATGAGGAGGCTGGGCGGCTTAGAAACATGTACAGGGAGAAGGTATGCTTCAATTGTTATTTTCCATTTTGAGTTCCTCTCTCTTTAAGTCTTTCTTTTATAGTTAATTGAAATAAAGTACCTCTTGATACATGCTAATGAAACATTACCTTATTAGGGGAGCTGATTTAAAACCCTTTCTTTGCATCAAATTGAAATTTCCAACAGTCATGGACTTCCTTAAATATTTCTCTGCCTCTGTTTCATCGTTTGGATATTAGGGTATAATTTGGCTTCAGGCTTGCATTCTGTTGATAGTGCTATCAGTCTGCTTTGCATTGAAGTGATTGTGTGATTTGAGATAAATGCAGTATAGCGCGTATGAAACCCGTTTTTGATAAAATAAATGGATCTTGATGATATTATAGTTCTTTTGTTATTTGGATCAGTTGTAGTTTCTGATACAGTATCAATTCCTATAGAAATCCTCTGCATTATTGCTTCTGCGGCTTGCATTCCAAAGTCTTGGAGTGGTTTATGGTGACTTGGGCACTTCTCCCTTGTATGTTTTCTACAATACATTTCCCGGTAAAATTGAAGATCCAGAAGATGTTGTTGGAGCTCTTTCATTGATTATATACTCCCTTACTCTTATCCCGCTCCTCAAGTATGTGTTTATTGTGTGTAAAGCAAATGACAATGGTCAAGGTGAGCTGATATTTGTGAATGAGGATTACTTATGTTATACATTAATCTGACACATGAATTTGTGAAGAAAATACTTCTTAATGTATTGCAGGATGCGGAACCACAGGCTTGACTAATTATTTTATTTTTAATCCAAGTCCACTCTAATAATTACTAACATTACTATCGTTTACCTATCTTTAAATGTTGATACGTGTCTTATTCTTTTTCATGAGGCACCATTAGAATCACAATCATCCTATTTGTCATGCAGGTGGAACATTTGCTCTATATTCATTGCTTTGTAGACATGCAAAAATAAAAACCATTCCTAATCAACACAGGACTGATGAGGAGCTAACAACTTATAGTCGTTCTACATTTCATGAAAAATCATTTGCTGCTAAAACAAAGAGATGGTTGGAGAGATATGCATCCAGGAAGAATGCGCTTCTTATTCTTGTCCTGGTTGGTACATGCATGGTCATTGGTGATGGAATACTCACTCCAGCAATATCAGGTATTTTGCTTATGTTCCTTCAGCTAGACCTCCAAGGACTGGATAAAAGGATCAAGCTGCCTGACCACTCTTTGTTAGCTTCTACCTCTTTGTTTATGCTCAAGTGTAATTAGAAAGAATATGACATTTACATAAATACAGGTATTTGAGTAATGTATGCTTATTTTTTGACCTTGTTCTTATCACAAGGTCAACAGTATTTCAGACTTTTAGTTACCTATTATTTTAGCCATTCAATTATTCTTTATTGGTATTATGAAGATCTTCCCATCTCTGAAATCTAAATTAAGATGTCCAATGATCCAACTCATTGGCTGAAAATTTACTTATCCACTTGATTTATTACTCTTTAGTGGAAACAATTAGAGAATAGATGGAAGAAATATATTTCAAAATTTCAGTCAGTCAATGACTTCATCATGGTTGATATTTAAAACCTTGTACTCAGAATGTGTGTACTTTTGTGAAGGATGCATATGAACATTTGGTGGAGGGAGAATGACTTGGAGTCCCTTTTCAGTATGCTCATAAAATAGGATTGTATTTAAAATTGAAGGATAGTTCATATTCTAATAAAATCTTTTGCATAAATGCAGATTGCAAAAAGGTAATGAAGGAGTCCTATATTCATAACTGATAATTATTTGGTGACCATATATACATTTGGCATGACTAAGTTGTTCATAGAGAACCAGGAAATTGGGCAGACACCTTCTAAACTCATCCTCACTGTTCCCTATCATAATTCTTGAAAATTGCTGTTTTTCCATCAAACTTGGAAACATTTGCATCTATAACTATGGTCAAATCCAGACACTTGGAAGACTTTCTCAGTGAAGCTACCACACCTATTAAAGCTGAGAAAAAGTATATATTCCAGCTTTCATTGACCATCTGATTGAGATGACAGAGCCTTTACCATTTATTGCCAGTGGTTTTTTTATCATTATTAAACCTTACCAATTTTGCTTATTAATGGAAATTGTGTAATATTTTATTGATATGCTAATGTCTGTACACTTCATTTACTCCTTCCTGAAGTGATTTTGCTATCTTTGGCAGTTCTTTCAGCAGCCGGGGGCATCAAAGTAGACCACCCACACATGAACAATGGTATCTTCGTACTCTTCCTTAGACATTATTCATTCTTTGCAGCCTCGTATTGGAACACTTTCTATAATGTTTAGCCACCTTTGTGTAGGGCCTTCTTATTTTCTTTTTCCGTTATGCAGATGTTGTGGTGGTTGTTGCTGTTCTGATATTGGTAGGTTTATTTAGCATGCAACACTATGGTACAGATAGAGTTAGCTGGCTCTTTGCCCCAATTGTGCTTCTTTGGTTTCTTCTAATTGGAGGCATTGGCATATTTAATATTTGCAAATATGACAGCAGTGTTTTGAAAGCATTTTCACCTATATACATATACCGATATTTTAAGAGGGGAGGGAAAGAAGGATGGACCTCCCTTGGGGGTATTATGCTTAGTATCACAGGTAAACTTACTATCAATTTTGATATCTCAATTATTTTATTTAAAAAGTTCGCTAGACTTGCACTGAAACTGGTGACATGATTTTGATGACTAATGAATCATTACAGGTACTGAGGCACTTTTTGCAGATCTAGCCCATTTTCCAGTTTCAGCTGTGCAGATTGCTTTTACTTTAGTTGTATTTCCTTGCCTTCTCCTGGCATATTCTGGACAAGCTGCCTACCTCATGAATAACAGGGACCATGTGGTCGATGTATTTTATCGCTCTATCCCAGGTTTGTTCTTATATCTATTTTAAGGTTATTTAATCCTGTCTGATATGTAATGATTTTATTGTAGCCTTACTCCTGTACAAGTGCCAGCTTCTCCTTCACTGCTGTTACTTGGTTGTCCCATTTAATGTGGTAAGTCTCGATTTTTAGATTCTAATTATTTGTTATCATGCAGATAGCATATATTGGCCTGTTTTTGTTATTGCTACTGCTGCTGCTATAGTTGCAAGTCAGGCCACCATATCTGCAACATTTTCAATTATCAAGCAAGCCCTTGCACTTGGTTGTTTTCCACGAGTGAAGGTTGTACATACGTCAAAGAAGTTCCTTGGCCAGATATACGTTCCTGATATTAATTGGATCCTTATGGTCCTTTGCATTGCTGTTACTGCTGGATTCAAGAACCAAAGCCAAATTGGAAATGCTTATGGTAAGTTTATACTTAATACATCTTCTGTTCTGGTGAAAATTTGTCCAGTTGGAAACATTACATTCCAAAATATGTCCAAGTCGTACAAGATTTGGAGTGGAAAATTTTCTTCATGTGTGTCAGCAGAGAGGGTTTTTGTAATTTATAGAAACATTTATTGTTTTGCAAAATATATTTATAGCCTTTAGGATCTTGTGTCAACTCATGGTACCATTTCAGTCATTATACCTTGTACTTGAGAAAAAGGCTGCACTCAATTTCATCATTATTTATGTTACTGCAGGGACAGCTGTTGTGATCGTAATGTTGGTAACCACATTACTTATGACTTTAATCATGATTTTGGTCTGGCGCTGTCATTGGATTCTTGTCCTTCTATTCACTGGCTTGTCCTTGGTTGTAGAGTGCACATACTTTTCTGCTGTACTCTTCAAGGTTGATCAAGGTGGGTGGGTTCCCCTTGTTATCGCAGCAGCCTTTCTGCTCATCATGTATGTTTGGCATTATGGTACAGTGAAGCGATATGAGTTTGAGATGCATGGTAAGGTTTCAATGGCATGGATTCTTGGGCTTGGCCCTAGTTTAGGACTAGTCAGGGTTCCTGGAATTGGACTAGTGTACACTGAGCTAGCAAGCGGCGTGCCTCGCATATTTTCCCACTTCATCACTAACCTACCTGCCATCCATTCCGTTGTTGTTTTCGTCTGTGTGAAGTACCTTCCTGTCTACACTGTTCCGGAAGAAGAAAGGTTCCTTGTAAAGCGGATTGGACCGAAGAATTTCCACATGTTTCGTTGTGTTGCAAGGTATGGCTACAAGGACCTTCATAAGAAAGATGATGATTTTGAGAAAAAGCTGTTTGATAGCCTGTTCTTGTTTGTCCGGCTTGAGTCAATGATGGAAGGGTGCTCAGATTCAGATGAATATAGCTTGTATGGCCAGCAAACTGAGCGGTCAAGAGATGATCTGTTGAATAATAATGGCCACGCGACTTTCTCCAATATTGATACCACAATTTCATCTGTGGATTCAATTGTGCCTGTTGGATCGTCTGGGCAAGTAAGTAGCCAGACTGAGACTGATGAGTTAGAATTTTTGAATAGCTGTAGGGATGCTGGGGTGGTGCACATTCTGGGAAACACAGTGGTGAGAGCAAGAAGGGATGCAAAATTTTACAAGAAAGTAGCTATTGATTACATATATGCATTTCTTAGGAAGATTTGTAGGGAAAATAGTGTGATTTTTAATGTTCCTCATGAGAGTCTGTTGAACGTAGGACAGATTTTTTATGTATAAGGTTTCTTTGCTAATATCACAAATAAATACTGAATTAAGAGTGGGTTACTTTCTATTTTCTATTCTTTCTACTCAAGCCATCGATCGATACATGTTTCTTATCTGCGGTTGCTCAGTTGTCAGAGGCTGGCACCAAATTCTCGTCTGCTGAGCTCGCTACACTGACAAATGACAAACCAAATTAACACTTTTATGCAGTAACTCTAGTCACAAGCACCAAAACCGAGTTTGTATCCACTATTATTGACACAAAATAACAGCTTTACATATAAACAAATTCTTTTTGTCTTACAAAACACAATCGTATCTCACCCTCTCATTGGGAGCTTCTCCCCCCTTACTCATATAATTTACACACAAGGTTTATGGAGTAAAAGAAAAATAAACTATCATATGTCATTGATGAAGGCATCAAAACAACGTAATCATTGAGTGCCATCACTTAGATACTTGGTTCTGCGGCTGATGACCTTGTGGTTTTGTCTGGCATGCTGAGGACATGATTCGTAAGCGTCTAGCAATCTCTGTGAATGATGGTCGAACCACAGGATCGGGAGCCCAACACTGCTCCATTAGTAACTTCCATTCAGGGTCACAGTTGCTTGGTACAGGTGGCCTCAATGTGTTGCTAACGATGCCTCCTGCATGTAAATGAGGTAATCAGACTACAGACTACCACGTCAACATATTCAATTCACCATGTACAGGGGCAGGAACATGCGTTCAAATAAATTGTCCTCGCTATAGTTTTAAATGGAACAACACCTGACATAGTAAATGGATGTGCAATGAACAAAGTAGACCCTCTATTAATATGAAATATATTGAATTTAACAGAAAAAATTTTATGAAAAATAGAAAATTCAAACAAGTAACAACATCAACAAAATGATGGTAAGGGACCCTTCTGCAGGACTTAATATGGAAAAAAAAATTAAGACGCCTCACAAAGTAAAAGCACAGGTAGCATAAAAGAAAGAAAAACTGAGAGATTTCACACCTATTATTGCTCCATAATGCATATAGGCATAAGGTTCCTCGCCAGTAAGAATCTCCCATAGGACAATGCCAAATGAGAACACATCAACCTGCAAATGACAAAATCCAAGTTAGTAATGCTTGCATGAAGACCATTGTGCCTTGCTTATTAGGGGTCATGGAGGTGGGGCTTTTAGGAAGAAACCTATATTTTAGCCATGGAGATAACTTGTACTTTTTATTAAAAAAAATGCACAAACAAATTCCAGAAGATTGAGATTGATAAAATAAAAAAGGTCCTACATCTGAAAAAGGTGCAGAGCCAACAAGCCCTAACATCCCATTTCATTACATAGACAACAACGATCACATAACTTGAGCCAGAAAGAACCACTTCACTCTTATAGACAATGAAAGTAGATAACTTGCTGTTCCTAAAAGCCACCCAAAATAATGTGAGAACCAGAATTACCGAGTGGCAATCCCTTCTATTAAGCATAATAAACTTGTTCCCAGCATATGCTGGATTGCTGTAAGGCTAGATATAAACTAAGATCTAAACAAACTTTTCATCCAAGCTCCGAAATATAATTGTCTTACCTTTTCAGAAACCTTACTACTGCTGCCATTCAACAGCTCTGGGGCCATCCATGGAAGAGTTCCCCTCACACCACCAGTAACCAAGGTATTCCTTTTTATCTTTGACAACCCAAAGTCCCCAACCTGCACAGACAATATCATCTTTATTTTTTGGTTTGACTTGGAAATCAATATCTACCTACCAAACAAGAAGAAAGAGATGGGTAATTGGATCAGCCACATACAACATAAATTTACAAATTTATAAGAAAATCACACAAATTACCTTGCAAATTGGCCGTACAGGGTCTTTCAAGTTGACAAGCAAGTTGTCACATTTTAAATCAAAATGCACAATGTTTTTTGAATGTAAATATTCCATCCCAAATGCTGCATCCATGGCAATAATGAGCCGCTTACGACGATCAAGATGTCTAGACAGTTACAAAACTTATAGAAGTGAATAAACAAATAAAACAGGAGGAAATTCTCAGAAGTGATGAAAGTAGTACATTCTAGGAATAACTATAAATAAAAATATTACCTGTCTTTGCTAAGCAAGACATGTCTAAGAGAGCCATTCACCATATACTCTGTGACAGTGGCTAGTGTTCCTCCAGGTCCATCCTGCACCACGCCATAAAATGCCACAACATTGGGGTGGTGAAGCTTTGAAAGAATGTCAGCTTCACGCCAGAACTCCACAGTCTGAAAAATATTTAATGCTGATTGTTATTAATGGCATGAGATGAAGTATAAAAAGCATTAATCTCCATTGATGATGCCCAAATGCCAAGAAACAACAGGAAAACTCACCAGTCTTTCTTGCTCAGATGAACGGCCAGTGAAACAGCTCTTTTTTATCCGCTTGATGGCAACGTCGGTTCCCCTCCATTTTCCATGGTAGACAGTCCCAAATGTACCAGAACCAAGCTCCCGTAGTTCTTCCAGATCTTCATTTTTAATGATCTGCCGTGGCATTTGATGAAATTAACCAACATGGTGTTAAAAACAGTGACTGCATCAGTTGAACAATCTTGGAACAAGAGGCAAAAATGCAGAATAGTTCAACCTAACAGCATGCTGAATAACATTTTTCAACAGATTTCTATTAAATTCACCAGCTTAAATTGAGATTAGGAGGTGATAGAAGCAGATATCACAGTGGCGAATAATGTCTGAGGTGATGTAATCGGCAGCATGCTGGCTTAGGTAAAGCAATAAAGATGTTTTTAATGCTAAACAATATGCCTATAATCAGTGCTTAACATCTAAGAAGCAATCATTACCAGCTGAATGGTGCCATTGGCAATAAGGCTCCGTTGGAAATTTTAGAAAATGAAAAGAGCAAATTAACGTTAATCAACTCTTTCTGTATTAAGATATTAGATAATACCTGACAATGCAAGACATACCTGCAATGTACTTATATCAATATCTCCAAGGGAAGGATCCAAAAAAGGTACACCAGTATTGAGAATATCCAATTTCCCATCCTTGAAAATACAGAAAATTTAGAAAACAGGGATAAAAGCAAGCAATATCTTCACAAGCTAAGGGATATTAATATAAAACGAGTGCCACTAGTACCTCATACTCTGATTCAGGTACTTTGTGGTTCGGCCCATCTTGTCCACTTTCATCACCCTTGAGCAGAGACTTCTTGTAACCTGAACCTATATCCAGGTTGTTAGGAGCAGCAACAGTAGTTGACTCCTGCCTGATGTCCTCACCAAAATTGATATCTGGCTTAATATGACCTAAGGCAACTGCACCAGCAGATTTCAAAGGTGGATAGCTGTAATCGATTGGAGCCCCACCTTCAATATTTGTAAGTGGAGATGAGAAACCCAGATGGTCCTGATCCATGAGGGAGACATCCTTTCTAACAAACTCATCCTGAGCCAAATTACGGAAGTATGACCAATGCTTAGGTTCATGATTCTCCATGTTTAAGCTCAATCCAGCTCCATCACCAGGAAATGGGCTGATACCATCGAGGTTCTGGGACATTCTTACTTTTGAGAACATATCAGACAAAAGATCACGGGGAAATCGATCGTTAATATCAATAAGTATGTCTCCATGCTCTGAGGTGCCAACAGAAGTAGTAGGCTGTACATTGGAAGTTGCTCTAATTGAATTCTCTGCCCAAACCAAAGTTTGTTCATGACCCTTAGTATGATTTCCTGTGTTCTTGTTTTCATCCTTCTCAATTCGTTCAAAATCAGATGGCTTCAAAGAAGGATCTTCAAGGTGCTTAACAGAAGTTCCTTGACTTGCTGTAGGATGATTTAATCCAGCTGCTTCATCAGCAGTGCTCTTAACTGAGACTTGTTTCAATTCAGATTTCTGCTTAGTTGACTCAAGCCCCTCCTCAGGAATATTAGAGATGATTTTATAGGCAAAATCTTTGTACTTTTCAAATTCTGTAAGCCCATCCATTACAGTCTGAGGATTTTTAGACAGAGGATTTGCAGAAGTGACAGGCTGTTCAGCCTGGGGAGCCAAATTCCCATCATGAATCTTGTCAACTGATTCTATAATTGGTTGGGAAGAATCAGAATGTGCTTGAGTCATTAGAAACTGAGAACCAAAAGAATCATCAGACTTCGATAAACGGTTCATTTCTGCCTGCTCCCTGGGGATTCTCTCTGAATGAAAAACACGTTGAGGAATCACAGAAGGCTCAAGACGGCTAAAATCATTTGGATCAGCCTCAGAACCACCACCTCCAGATGTAAAGGGCCCACCAGATGTGCAGAAGTGGTCATCATCAACGTTCTTTCTCCCTTCAGTTACAACTTCAGGGGCCACCGAATTCTGCATAGCTTCCTGGGTCTTTTTGAAATTTTTTGCAGGCAACAAAGGTGAGCCAATGTCTGGCACTGAAATGATAACCGATGCTTCCTCTTTAGAAATATGATTTGGAACAGAACTGTCATATGCATTTGAAGGGACACTGTACTCCTTCTCAGACATCCGAATTTTTTCAGTTTCATTGATCTTCGGGAGAGATGTATCTCTTTTCATTTTTGGCTCCTTTGTTGGTGGAGCTTTGTCTAGGGATCGGACTTTTTCAGGTTCAGTTATTTTTGGGGCTGAGCTATCTCTTTTTAGTTTCACCTCTTTTATAGATACTTCTGGATCTTGCACTTGAAAGCCCATATACATCTTCTCGTCAGCTAAGCCCGTCTGAGGAGTCACATGCCCATGGAATGGCATTGAGACTAAATTTTCTCCAGGTGTCACATATTTAGAGGGTTGGGAACCATAACCGTATTGGAATGGAGCAGACAAAGGAACATTACTCTTCCCATCTACCTGGGGAGTGGAAGACGGCTGCTGGCTAGCTTCTCCATGACACATTTTTTGCTCTGAGTATGGCTGTGAACTAGATTCATAAGTGCTAGATGAACTTGCCCATACTGGTTGAGAAGATTGGAGGGTTGGTGAAGGTGCATGAGAAGATTGGGCTGTTGGTGAAGGTGCATGAGAAGATTGGACTGCTGGTGAAGGTGCATGAGAAGATTGGACAGCTGATAAAGGTGCATTGGCTGTCAAAGAAGCAGTACTAGTAGCAGCTGCTTCAGTCACAGGCCGATCAGCCTCCCTTACAACATTCAAAGCAAGTAACTCATCCAAATTGTTCTCAGACGCACTAGCCACAATTGAGTTTTTTCTTGATCCTAGGTCCATGCCATTCACAGCAACAAAATATTGCATCTCAGAATCACCCTCTACACTTCCCAAACCATACTGAGCATCCTCCAGATCAGTGCTAGAGAAAAGGAATAGCCTGGGTTTCTGTGATCCTCCATCTTCTAGTTCCTCCATCATGTTTTGCAGATCCTCATCACAAGATACAGAGACCAATGCGTCAAGATCCTCCCCAGGCAACTGATACTTTATTGTATGGGCTTGGTCATAAATTGTTAAGGTTTTTTGAACAAGCTCTTGCCAGGAAATATCCCTGCTTAATCGGATTATACGTGTTTCGCCCCCAACATATCTAAGTTTCCCATCATAGGGACGTGGTAAAATTTTACCACCAAAGCTGCAGAGGAACTTCACCTTATTTGATGCACTGCAAGAAGCACTTGAAGAGGCATAACCTTGTTGTCCCCGACTAATGTCATTTCTTGAAGAGGATCGAGGAACTGATTGCACAGAATCATAATAGTGTTTGTCTTCGTGCACAGAAGGAGTCTTTCTCTCAAACTCCTGGGGACGGGGTTTTTCTACTGTGTTAAGCATAGAGATATCAGAGCCACTTTCAGAACCTGTATGAGAAATTCCCAGAATGCCCTTTAGATCCATATAGACAGGTCCACTGTTAGGATCACCATGAACATTCTGAATAAAATGCTGCCTGGGATTTACCCTTTCCCGCATAAATTCCAGAGAAAACTCCTCACCAGTCTGAATGGAGTAATTCAGCACTGGTCTAGCTCCCACCAACATATCATACTCAGGAGGTCGGATGTTAGTATTAATATTACTAGACGGATCATTGAAAAATCTTTGATTTGCAGACCCAAGAGTTTCATTTCTAGCTTCCATATTATTGTATCGAATTTTTTCATAATTCTTCTGTTGATCCATTAAGCCTTTTCCTAGATTCCTCTCCATTTAGATAAAATTTTCCAGGAAAATAGACCAAGGCAATATGCCATGATTATCACACCAATGCAATATCAGCAAATGCATTCTGCCATAGCCAGCAGCAAAGTTAGATTTCCAAACACCTTAACCTGAACCTGAAAGATTGTATGGGCATTCACCATTAGTTAAAATTAGTTATCAAGAGAAGAGCAACCAACTCAATGCATTCTTGAGAAAATCAACAACATCCTTCAGAGTCAAGAGATTAAAAACGCTTCCACCATTTTTACACTGAATAAATAGCTATGCCATTTCCATTACAAGAGACAAAATTATTGATGATGACACTGTCTATGGTAAAAAAAACCAGCTAGTTATATCCATTAAAAGAAGGAAACTGTGAAACCAATTTGTTTAAAACAAAATAACCGCACAAGTAATGGTCAATCAACCAATGCATTCTTATACTCATGAGCATAAATGAAATTTAGTCCAAACCACTGCCAAGAAACAGCAAAATACTTGTGAAGATAAAAGAACTCAGGCTCATTTTTGGGGAGAGAGTAATTCCGGAACTTGAATCATGCAATTTATTTAGCATAAACACCCTAAATTCAAGCAACAAACTCATAAAAGAATTTTGTAAAGTTCATTTTTTTCTTTTGATCCCCCTCCCCCCCCCCCCCCCCCCCCCCCCCAAAAAAAAAACCCTTTTTAATAAAGCTTTCACGCAACTAGAAAGCAGATTTGAAGCTGTAATACAGATTTCACTGAACAATGCCTTTAGGACCTTTGGGACAAAGATACAAAGAAGTAAAACGAATGCATCCCATGCAAATCTGGAATCCTAAACATGAATCCTGAATAACACTCCAAATTCCAATATAAACATGCAAAGGTAATGGTGCATACCAAACAAAATACCCGAAACATACTTAAAATCAATCCCACGAAGTGTGATCCAAAACCAAGACGAATCCAATTTGAATACCGTTTTAATTAAATCCGTGATAAAGCCAATTTTGTTATAAGATTGAAACAGTAACATGGAAATTAAATAGTAATAATCGCAGTGCAGCGAGAGTACACAGCCTAATCAAACCCATAAAAAAAGTATGAAATATGAACAAAAATGGAGCTCAAAATCCAATCTCCAATCACTCCAAAACCACTGATCAAACACACTGACAAAAGAGAGAGAAACTAAACATCGGTATAAATAAAACCCAAAATTCACCAGAAATACAACAAAATCGAAATTAAAGTTAGAATCGGAACGAAACCCATAAGCGGATTAAAAGTTATAATCATTACTTTAACCTAACATTAATTAATTAAAACAAAAATAAAGTATTTTACCTTAGAAGAAAAAAAGGAAAAGAACGCAAAGAGCGGTGAAGCTTCGAGCAGCGAAGCGAAGATTATTGACTTTCTCTCTCTACAAATTCGCTCATTTTGAGTCCAAAATAGGGAGCCGTCCCTCTTTTCCCTTTTACAGTTTCTTTTTTATTTTTATGTAGATTTTATTTAAAGTAATTTCTAAGTAGTGTATTTGTTTGTCTCTCTCTAGATCTCTAAAATTTTGCCCGACTTTTTGGACACCCTTTTTTCTTTTTTTTTCCTTTGTTCAATTTTATTTTGCTTAAAAACGTCGGCATTTTGGGAATTTTGTTGAGGGATTTCCCGACGCGTGAGTGAGCGCGTGCGAGCAGTCATTGTGCGTGTTCGTTATCTCAAGTGTTGTGGGCCCCGCAATTGACGGGACGTTTGTGGGTTGGTGAGACTGAGATTGATCGTGGAAGTTATTTCAAACTTTGCTTTATGGGCTAATTTCAATAGGCCTTCTTTGCTGCGTTGAAAATCCAGTGGGCTAAGGTTTAGCAGTCTCACACACAAATATCAAGGTTTTTATTTCAATTTGAAAAATATTACCAGTTTTAGTTAATTGAATTTCATAAATGATATTTTATAAATTAATATAAATATTTTTTGTATAAATTTTAATATAATCAATGTAAGATTTATAATTTTTTTTATAAGATCACGAGGTTTTTTTCTATTTCAACAAGAGTTCATTGAACCTATCGTTTTTAGTAATACATTATTAATATTTTAAAGGTAACTTTAATATTAAACATCATAATTTACACTAACTTGTAAAAATTTTAATTCATTGTGTCTCAGATTTTATCTTATAAAAAATATTTTATAAATTAAATATGATATAAATACTTTAAATCTCAATTTAAATTATAATATATAATGGATATGAGATATATAATTGTGAATCATTGTACATAATAAATATTTATTAAATAAATTTTACTTTCTCACATGTTACTCTCAAACGCCCTTTTTTTTTTTTAAAATAAGACAAACGTTTTTGTTTACTGTTTATATACATCCTAATTGAGATAATCTACTACTATATATATCATGTGTTCAACATGAAATTTGAAAATGTAACATCAAATATTGAGAGAGAAGCAACTAAAATGCTTCTTTCTCATCAAGATATTGCTGCTGAGTTTGCAGGGGAATGTTTTGTGTTGCCACTTTTGTTTCATATTGCTCGTACTGCATTTGCCTTTGCAATTGTTTCTAGCTTCTTTCCATCTATTTTTACGTAGCAAATGCGACTAGGATGAGCAAACAATATCTCATAATATAAAAATACAACATCAAGAAATTATATGTTTAATTAATCATGTAAGAGCCTATTATTTTAGGATATAAGTTTTGCATGTAATTGAAAGTTAAACAAAATAAAATGAAACACATACTATTTTGATATGTTGGGACGATTAAAGAAAAAAATCAGTAAAATTTTTTATATTTAAAATTATTAAAAAATAAAATTTATTTATTAAAATTAATAATTTAATATTTTTATCGATTGAATTTACGTGAAACCAATTAGATCTTAACACTTTTAAAGATAAATAAACAATAATCATTGAGTCAAAATTTAGAATTATGAAATATAATTGTATGTATCTAATAATATGTTTGAGTTAAATTTATTTAGACATATAAGCTGGTTTAACTTATAAAGATAAATAAATTAAAATGGAATAATCGAATTTCATGGTCTCTTTTCAATCCAATTTAACTTGTTGTTTTATCCAAAAAATAATCTTGTTTTTTGATTAAATCATCTCATGTAAAAAAAGGAAAAAGAAAATATGAAGCATGTATCATCGCATTCATATCATAATGCCCGTGGTTAGGAATGATTTATGGAAAGCTAGAATTAATAATCTTATGCTACACATTCTATATTCAATTTTATTTGATTTATAGTTAGGTTATAAGTCATCTTTCATTTATGTTCTTACAGTTACTGTAAATAATTTAACAAATATATTAAATAAATAATTTACATATTACAAAAATATTAATTTAAATAAATTATTTGTTAATTCACATATTATTCACACATATCATATGTCATTAATGTATAAAAAATAATATTAAATAATCTTATATTTCTCTAATTAAACAAAAAAAAATTTATATTTTCTAAGATCAATAAACTTTAAGCATCATACGATTTCTTTTAATATCACTTTTCTTCCAAAATTAAAAAATTTGCAAAACAAAGTTCCTCTCAAAGAAAAAAACAACAAAAAAAAGATTAAGGAAAGAAAGCATATATAATAAGAGACAGAGTTTAGTAAGAAGGTTCCATCGCTGATCCAACCAAGCAACTCCGAAGGCAATGGATGGCGGCGATTCTGAGGAGACAGGCAGAAGAAGAGAAAGGAAAGCAAGTTTCTCCTGGCTTGGGGAGAAGGGAAAGGAAATTAATATACAACGAAAAAAAAGAAACAAAATGGGAGGTGGCGTCTGGTAAAGCCACGTGGCACGCCATCAGTTGTTACGTAGGAGAGATGGCGAGAGGGGGGGAGAGAGAGCTCGCTTTCCCTTTCTCTCTCATGCGCTGCCATGTCAGAGTGGTAACCCCGTCCCTAGGACCCCGGCGAATCCGTATCGTATGCTCTCTTTCTCTCTCTATAGAAACCCCAACCTTTTCTCTCTATATATTTATAAATTTTTATTTTTAGATTTTTTGTTTTTCCGTTCGGTGTTTAATTGTTGTTTTGTCAATTCTCTCTCTATTTATTCGAGTTGCTCGTGTCTTCTCTCTCTTCGCTACTTTTTCTTTGCTTGGTATACCCTAATATCGTCTTCTCTCCACTTATCCATCTGTCTATATTCACTACATCTGCGTTACTCTTGATATTATTCTACCTGGTTTTGATTCTTTGATCTACGAGAAAGATTGGTAAGCTTCTTTTCCTATCTGCCTACTTGTTTATTTCCTTGTGTTTTGGCTTGGGGTTTTCTAATTTAGGTACTTTGAGGTGTCTTTTTTGTCTGTTTTGATGTTTTGTTGAATTTGCTGTGTTGTCTCATGTTGGGAGGTTTTTGTTCATAGTTTGATTGAAATTCGGTGGCTTTTGGACTGATTTGGGAGTTGGGTTTCTTTGAGCGAGTTTGTTGATGACGGTTAGTTTTGTTGAAATGGGGTTTTGAGCTCAATGTAAGTTAAATGTTTCATGCATGGATTGAGTTTTTTAATTTAAACTGATTGTTCAGTTTGTCCTTTTTGTGTTAGCATAGCGGATGACCAATTGTTTGGCTTAGATGCTTCAATTCATTTCTACACCAGACTAAATAATAGCTCTATTGCATTTCCAAATCTGTTTTAATTTACCAATTGATCATTTAGGAATGTGTCAAACCACTGTCAATGCTGTTTCCTACTTTCTTTTCTTCATTTTTCATCCCACGGATAATGCCTGGATTAATGATGCTACTCCTATCTTATCATGTAGTTCCTTTGTTGCTTCCGCACTATGTAGAATATTGAGTTCAGCTTTGGTTTGACTATTGTGTTCACCTTTTGAGCAAAACCTTATTGTTTTGCTTTGGCATGGACATGGGTAATTCTGTCGACTCTAGTTTAATTAAGTTGTTCTTCTTGGTACATCAACTTTGACATTTTAGAAACCAAATGTAAACACTGAGAATAATGTGAACTTTGATGTTGACTAGTTGATTAGCAGCAACTTGAAGTTGGTTGCAACTCAGAATTGCTAATCCAAAGTTGAGTTTGTTTGAGAGCTTGTTTAGAAATGGGAATCACTGACAAATTCAGTTTCAAGAGTTTATGTTTTAATGAATTCAGTATGTGTGCATGCTGAAAATCCCATCTCCCTTTTTTTGCATATAAATAAAGCTTTCTTTCTTTTCTGAAATGCTTTTAATGTGTTTATGTGCATGCTTCACCATTCTTTAGCCTAATAAAACTATTGGTGCCTGGTAGTTTCTTTTTTTTCTAGTAACAAGTTATATTGCTGAAAATGTAGGAATTGTACCTTGAGTCTTTGAAGTGGCTAAAATTGCAAGGCGGAAGCTTCATTGATCCGGCAGTGACTTGACATGCTTTCTGTTGTTCATAGCTGCAATGTAAGACCCTTTAAGAAAGGATGAAGGATACCAGTTCATTAAATAGTAAAATGATTAATCGAAACTGGGTCTTGAAGCGCAAACGAAGAAAGTTTCTGTGTGGACCATCCTTAGCCAATGGTAAAGAAGAGAACTTAGTAGCATCAGAATCTCCAAGGAGTACTTCAGCTAAACGTAAGCTGAAAGGCGATATAAGCTCTGATCAGTTTTCATCTAAAAAGAAAGGAAATGATGGGGTATGATGCCCTTTGTTCTTGTTCTGTCATTTATTTGTTTCCCTAATTGCAATGTAGTTCTTTTCTTTTTCTTATTTGATATTGCTGTTAATTATGTTTTTGTATGGTCAATGTAGCTAAACAATCTCCTCATTCCCTTTTTTTTGAAAAATTTTTTGTCGATATGTTTAAATTTTACTCGAAATTTGATTGATTAAGTGTTGTGAATTTAGCCAAGTGTTTATCAATTATCAAATATTGGAATCTGCATGCCTGAAGTTAAATTTTGGATCATGCATGCTGAATTCAGTATCACTTTTCACCCAAGTTAAGAGTAAATGTGCTCAGAATGATAGCTATTGGTGGCATTGGGTTTTCATCAATTTTTTTCCACTGTGATATGCTTATTCATCATCTTGTTTGCATCAAATTCATGTGACCTCAAGAGCTTCTGAGTTCTGACTGTGATTACAGGTTGTGTTTTCAAAAGCATTTCATTGTTTTACTCATCTCGCTCTCACCTTGTTCTGCTTGAGAAACATGTATAAAAGTTTGCTGTTAGAAACTCAAAGTACATCCCTATAGTATCATATTGCGTACTAGTATTGGGAGAAAAATAACGTACAGAGCTCAAACAAAATCCAAGGGAATATACATCCATTTGCAATCTTGTGTCTTGACTGTATTTTGTAGGCATTTGTAAACTGCTTCTGACAACTATTTTTCACAAATTTTTGTCTCCAGTATTACTATGAATGTGTGATTTGTGATCTTGGCGGCAACTTGTTGTGTTGTGATAGTTGTCCCAGGACCTATCATCTTCAATGCCTTGATCCACCTCTTAAGGTATGATATCACAGCTAACTTGAGATGATTCTTTTCTTTGTTTTATGGCTGTATCATCATTTTTTTTAACTCCTATTCTCTTTTCTTTTCTTTACTCTACTGTATTCATCATTGTAGCGCATTCCAATGGGAAAGTGGCAATGTCCAAAGTGCTATAAGAAGACTGATCCAATCAAGCCCATTACCCATCTGGATTCAATCTCCAAACGAGCAAGATCAAAAATTATCAAGACAAAAGATCTAACTGGAAGAAAGTCACCTGCTACTGAAAAAGTGTCCCAAATTTTTGGAACGTCCATTATTGCGAAGAAAAGATCCTCCTCTAGCAAAGGAAAATCTGGTTTAGCTCAGGGAGTTGATACCTTGAAAAAGGAACCAGAAACCTCACATATAGATGTACCTTGTATCCCCAAGCCAACTCTTACATCCCTTGGTGGTGCAGAGGAAGCTGGTTCATCGTGTGTGAATGTTGATGACGGAAAGAAACCTAATGCATCTCCAACAAGTTCATCTGTGGAAAGGAAGTTAATTCCTCCTGCTGACGAGGTTTTGCCTAATTCTAAAAGCACAAAGTCGGAGCAAAATGATGAAGCACCTGAAGCAAAGCATGAATTGTCTTGTGATAATGAGTCTCCCAGAAACAAAATTGTTCTTGCAATTGATGTAGCCACAAGGAAAGATAGAAAAAGAAAGCAAAAAGTCAATAATGAAGCAAGTCAAAAGAAGCATAAGAGAGATAAGGGAAAGCATACTGTTAGTACTTCCAAACAAAAGCAGTCCAAAGCAAATAATATTGGTCCTGGAGCTGGTGAAACTCATCAGAAACAGAAACCTGATAATCATGGGGTTCTTGCATCTCTGTCAAAGGATTATGGTGGAAGCAAGAATTTTGATACTCGTAAAAAAGATGAGGTATGTTATAATCTTCTATATTATTTTTTTTTTCTGCTGGGTGGTTGGAGGTCTTTTATTGTATTTCATATGCTCAGCTGGCTTTTGGATTGAATGATGTAGAGAATAATAATGTTTATCTTTAAATGAGTCTTTGTAGATATTTTGATGTCATCTAGAAAGCGATGCTGAGAATGATAATGTTTATCTTTGAATGAGTCTTTGTAGATATTTTGATGTCCTCTAGAGTTGTTGTACTTTAAGGGATTTTCTCTATTTCCCTCTTCTTTTCTGAACTGAACTCTTGCTTATATGATTCGGGCAAATGTTGTTTAAAAACATAGTTGTTAGAAGTATTCTTTTGGGAGATAATAGCTGGATGGTTAGTTGCTTTGTCTTATATGTTGCACCAGTTTGCGTATATACCTTGAAATCAGAGCAGAGCTCTCTAAGAGGCCTAGGATCTGTAATTTTCTAATCCAGAAAGCTGCCTGGCACATCCACTTGTTTTGTACCTTTTCATCTTTATCAATTAAGAGTCTCCTTGGCTGAGTTTCTCCCCCTTCAAATTGGAACTACTTTCTTTAATTTGCTACATGTTTTCAGTTCTCCTGCATTGCGTGGATTTATTATTCTATACGAGAATGCAAAATGGAAAACTTCATTAATTTTTTAGTTGAGAGCTTTTCCGTTCGGGTGTGGCTTTCCATGTGGCATACAAAGTCAAACTTAAGATGGGTAGCTTATTTTCTGAACTATCGAATGTTGATTTTAAGATTTTATGCTACAGAGTTAGACGAGTTGCTCCTTCATTATTTGCACTGGTTTAGAGTTACATATAATGTACATGCTGTGTTTCTTCGTCTTTTTTTCTCGTCTTCTACATGTTCCGCATATTCTGACTAGAATGTGTAGTATAAGTTGTCTGTTAATTTTATTTTGGTGTTCAATTTGTTTGGTCTACATCAGTGCGATAAATGTCCTTAATCCTGCTGTCTGATATTATATGTCCTTATTGATGTATAAATTTAGAGCTACAGATTAGGATGAATCTTCGTTCTTATTCTTCAATTGGATCTGAATATTGACCTGGTTTTTTACCAAAATGATTTATGATTAACTCTCTGTTTATGTTGGACATTTAAGTGTGACTTCCTGGATTTAATGCCTTGAATATATATCTTAATGCACCGTATACGATTTCATACATAAATATCATTGCTGACTTCATATGTTAGTGTTTTTCATTGCTGATGTCATCACATCATTGTGACTACCCTTGGAATTCTTTCTGTTGATTATTTAAAGTCTTGCTATTTTCTTGATCAGAAGATTCCTGAGTATGCAACACCCCAGTCAGGTGAGTCAGATAAAGGGACTGTCGATGCCTCGCTGATACGTGAAGGCAGTGTTCCCACTGAACTTCAGCAGGTTAGTTGACTTCTTTTATATGGCAGTATCAAAGAGCATAGTTTCTGCCTTGAATATATACTCTTTACTTTTTTGGCTAATGAATGGCCTTTTTCCCTACATTTCATACTTATCTGCTTCACAGGTTGATCGCGTTCTAGGCTGTCGGGTTCAAGGTGATAATGCTAGTGTTTTGCATCACGCATCTGCAGCACTTTCAGATGACGTGCATTCTGACGATTTGGTAATCACGGAAAATCAAAACAGACTTTCAGAGGAGAATTCTGTTTGTGATATTGATTCAGATATAGCAGCTGCTGAAAATCTTGCTGAGGGTTGTCCTAATACTTTGAAAAGTTCTGATAAAGAAGAAAGCACAAAGAATGATGTCAGAGTGGATAAAATAAATGTATATAGAAGGTCTGTCACTAAAAAATGCAAGGGAGGGAATGCTGTGGACTTAGTGAGCAAAGGTACTAAGGATTCAGATTGTGCAATCATAAATGGTAAGGATCAAGATGAATCTGCTGTAACTGTAGAAGATTCAGGAAAAAGAAATGAAAAAATAGTAGTAGAAGAGGTAGATGCTAATGTTTGTGTGAAAAGTCATGGAAGCACTGAAGTTCCAAAAGTTTGTGGAACATCTGCAACAACAAAAGAGATGGATGTAGACATGAAAATAAGTAGCAGTGCTGAAAATGAAGTCCAAGAAACAGCTGTAAGTAAATCTGCATGTTCTAATAGGGAGACAGTGTCATATGAGTTTTTTGTTAAATGGGTGGGGAAGTCCCATATCCATAATAGCTGGATTTCTGAATCCCAATTGAAAGTTCTGGCGAAGAGAAAACTGGAAAATTACAAGGCAAAGTATGGGACAGCTGTGATAAATATCTGTGAGGAGCAGTGGAAGAAGCCTCAGCGAGTTATTTCTCTCCGTGTTTCAAACATGGGTATGCGGGAAGCTTTTGTGAAGTGGACTGGTCTTCCATATGATGAATGCACTTGGGAAAGATTAGATGAACCTGTTGTTCAACAATCTTCTCATCTGATTGACCTGTTTGATCAGTTTGAACGCCAAACATTGGAAAAAGATGCTGCTAAGGATGAATCTAGGGGAAAGGGGGATCGGCGGCATGATATTGCTACTTTGGCTGAGCAACCTAAAGAGCTGAAGGGAGGTGCACTATTTCCCCATCAGCTTGAAGCACTTAATTGGTTGCGTAGATGCTGGCATAAATCCAAAAATGTTATACTTGCTGATGAGATGGGGCTTGGAAAAACTGTGTCTGCTGTTGCCTTTATTTTGTCACTTTATTTTGAGTTTAAAGCTACTCTACCTTGTTTGGTGCTGGTACCACTTTCTACTATGCCTAACTGGCTTGCTGAGTTTTCATTATGGGCTCCTGATTTAAATGTTGTGGAGTATCATGGTGGAGCCAAAGCAAGAGCCACCATTCGCCAGTATGAATGGCATGCTAGTGACCCAAATGAATTGAATAAGAGAACAGCTTCTTACAAATATAATGTTCTTTTAACTACTTATGAAATGATTCTTGCGGATTCCTCTTATTTGCGTGGTGTTCCTTGGGAAGTTCTTGTGGTTGATGAGGGTCATCGTTTGAAAAATTCAGGAAGTAAGCTGTTTAGCTTGCTCAACACATTCTCTTTCCAACATCGTGTTCTGTTGACTGGAACCCCACTCCAGAATAACATTGGTGAGATGTATAACTTGCTTAATTTCTTGCAGCCATCTTCCTTCCCTTCTTTATCTTCATTTGAGGAGAAGTTTAATGATCTTACAACTGCGGAAAAGGTGGAGGAACTGAAGAAACTTGTTGCTCCTCATATGCTTCGAAGGCTTAAAAGGGATGCTATGCAGAATATTCCCCCCAAAACTGAACGAATGGTGCCTGTTGAGTTGTCATCCATTCAAGCTGAATACTACCGTGCAATGCTAACTAAGAACTACCAGATATTACGAAATATTGGGAAAGGTGTTGCACAGCAGTCAATGTTAAACATTGTGATGCAACTGAGAAAGGTTTGTAATCATCCATATCTCATACCAGGTACTGAGCCTGAGTCTGGATCAGTGGAGTTTCTTCATGAAATGCGTATAAAAGCTTCAGCCAAGTTGACTCTGTTGCATTCCATGCTTAAAGTCTTATATAGAGAAGGGCATAGAGTTCTAATTTTTTCACAAATGACGAAGCTTCTTGATATCCTTGAGGATTATTTGACTATAGAATTTGGCCCTAAAACATATGAGAGAGTTGATGGCTCTGTTTCAGTTGCTGATCGTCAAACGTCGATAGCAAGGTTCAACCAAGACAAAAGTCGATTTGTCTTCTTGTTATCAACACGTTCTTGTGGCCTTGGTATCAATTTAGCAACAGCTGACACTGTTATAATTTATGATTCTGATTTCAATCCACATGCTGACATCCAAGCTATGAATCGGGCACATCGAATTGGACAATCAAACAGACTTTTAGTGTACAGGCTTGTAGTTCGTGCTAGTGTAGAAGAGCGCATCTTGCAGCTTGCTAAAAAGAAACTAATGCTTGATCAGCTGTTTGTCAACAAGTCTGGATCTCAAAAAGAAGTGGAAGACATTCTGCGATGGGGAACAGAAGAACTCTTTATCGATTCTTCTAGTGGGAAAGGTTCAGGTGAAGGTAATAGCAATAAAGAAGATGCATTAATGGATATAGAACATAAGCACTGGAAGAGGGGTGGTGGTCTGGGAGATGTGTACCAGGACAAATGTACACATGGCAGCAACAAGATTGTGTTGGATGAAAATGCAATTTTAAAATTACTTGATCGTTCAAACCTTCAGTCTGGATCAGCTGATGTTGTTGAGGGGGATTTGGAGAATGATATGCTTGGCTCAGTAAAGGTGAGGTATTATACTCATATAATGTTTAAGTGTGTGGTTTTTATGTTAATACATTCATCAGTTGACGTATGCAATGACATATACTACTGCTCTTTTTGCATGGGACTGATACAAACTGATGCATTTTTAATAAAACTTGGCTTCTGTGTTTGCTGTTTGCAATAAAAGTTCCCTACTTAATTGAAATTTCTTGAAATTGAGCTTAAAATACTAGGTTTTGTTGGTCAAAATAGGAGCTCCAGGGTCTACCCCTTAGTTGGTAAAAACTGTACTTGCTTTATTTAGACCTGCTTTGGCAAGCTTAAAGCCTCCTTGTAGCTTTAGCTTGTAAAACTGATTGTTTACATTTTATAAGCATTTTTATGCATAAAAGCTTGCATGTTATTGCAAACTATTAGAGCCTGTTGTTCAGGTTGCTGCATCTGTTTATCTTTTAAACATTTTTACCCAGAGAATTCATATGTATGTGAGAGAATTTTTATTGTTAAAATTGATAGCTTATTCTATGTATAACTACTTCATAATCCATCTATAATTTGCCCCTGTTTGTGGGGTCGTAAAAGTAGCTCCTAATGAGACTTTATTGTTCTTAAAAATTCTTATAATTTTAAATATTTTCCTTAGAGTCTTTGGTCTTTATCTCTGGTTGCCTAAGACCTTTCCTGTTTTTATCTTTTGCACTCATTCTAATTTCAAAGAAAGCATTAGAATCTTGTTGTTTGTTTAATTGAACATTTTCTCATTTTCTTCATGTGCAGTCGGTGGAATGGAATGATGAAACAACAGAGGAACCAGGGGGAGGTGAATCACCTCCAGCTGTTGCTGATGATATTTCGGTGCAGAATTCTGAGAAGAAAGAAGATAATGTGTTAAATGGTACTGAAGAAAATGAATGGGACAGACTTTTGCGTGTGAGGTGAAGATCTTTTTTCTTTACCCTCCAGTTCTTCTCAATTTAAAAAAAAAACTGTTGTACTAAAGGTTCCTTACATTTAAATGTGCTGGAAGATCTAAGGTTTTGGTTTACTTGAAAAACCCTTTTCTGCTTGATTTACTGGGTGACAGGTGGGAGAAACATCAAAGTGAGGAGGAAGCAGCCCTTGGTAGAGGGAAGCGACAAAGGAAAGCCGTCTCTTATAGAGAAGCATATGCTCCACATCCCAATGAAACAATAAGTGAGGTACTTCATGTTGCTTTCTGTGTTAGAATGTATGTATGGCTTCTCCTTTCTCCTTAATAATATGTAAAACTTTTTCAAAAGATACGGACATACTTGTATTATTCCATATGCACATGCTTGCTTAGCAGCCTTTAACTTGTAAGCTACATTAGTCTTTTATTGCTTATTCATGGTGTTTGCAACTTTTTATTCTGTTGAAAAGCAGAATGGTGGTGAAGAAGAAAAAGAACCAGAACCAGAGCCAGAGCGGGAATATACACCAGCGGGACGAGCTCTTAAAACTAAGTAGTAAGTTCAGATTCTTACCGAGAATTGCACTTGTTTAATTTTCTTTTGAGATGCCAGCAAAATAGTATTTTCAAAATTATTTTATTGACAATAATTCAAGTCAATTAATGGGATAGCTTCTTAAATATTGACATTGTGGGTGCATTAATTTACTTTATAATCCTTTTTTGACAGTACTAAACTCCGTGCTCGACAAAAAGAACGGCTTGCTAGGCGGAGTGCAATTGAAGAGTTTCATACAACTGAGGGATTTCCTGGACCTGACTCAGTAGCTCAGTGTCCTTCCATGAATGAAAGAGATGCGGATGAGGTCAATCAATCAGTTCGACAGCCAGATAAAGAAAAGTGTTTGGTAATTGACTTGGAGGACGACAAACTTGCTCAATCTTCAGATGAACCAAAGAGCAAGGCTGATTTGATTTTAAGGCTTGGGAGGCTGTCAAAACATAAAATAAATGGTCAGTTGGATCTTTCTCTTAATCCTTTTTATCAGTCTTCTCCTGAAATAATTCTTCCAAGTAACAATCATCATGGCACAAGCTATACCAACTTGCTACCTACCAACAACTTGTTGCCAGTTCTTGGGCTTTGTGCTCCCAATGCTAGTCTGTTAGAGTTGCGTCATAGAAACTTCTCAAAATCAAATAGCAGGCTAAGTGGGCCAGGAACTGGACCAGAGCTTCCATTAAGTTTAACTCCGACTACTGGACCTTCAACCGATAAAGAAGCAAAAGGTCAGGAGACTACCCTGGACAAATTTAAATTCCAAGATGCATCACCAGAAGTTTTACGTCTTAAAAATGGAAACCAAGATGGTTGGCTTCCATTTAGCTCGGTAACTCTCTTTCTCTCTATTTTAGTTTTTTTTTTTAGTTGTCAAATACAAAACCTTCTGGTCCATGTAAATATATGATGACAAGACTTGTTTCTTTGCAGTATCCTCCTGCTGTTTCACTAGGAAAAGTTTTTGATCGATTAGAAAGTTCTGGTTCCAGTTTTTCTGATTTTCAGGAAAAGATGTCACTGCCTAATTTACCTTTCGATGAGAAATTGCCGCCCCGGTTCCCCCTTCCTACCAAAACCATGACCAGATCACATCATGACCTTTTGCCTAGCTTATCCTTAGGGAGTAGGCTTGATGCAGTAAATGAGTCTGTGCAAGACCTTCCAACAATGCCATTGCTGCCCAATTTGAAATTCCCTCCACAAGATGTACCTAGGTATAATCAACAAGAGAGGGACATGCCTCCAATATTGGGTTTGGGTCAGTTGCCATCCATTTCTTTTCCTGAAAACCATAGGAGAGTGCTTGAAAGTATTCTTATGAGAACTGGATCTGGATCTGGGAACTTTTATAAAAACAAATCAAAGGTAGAGGGCTGGTCAGAGGATGAACTTGATTTTCTCTGGATTGGTGTTCGTAGACATGGGCGAGGTAGCTGGGATGCCATGCTTAGAGACCCCAGGCTAAACTTTTCGAAGTATAAAACTTCAGAAGATTTGGCAACTAGGTGGGAGGAGGAACAACTCAAAATTTTGGATGGGCCAGCTTTTCCTGTTCCAAAATTCACCCAGTCAACAAAAACTACCAAATCTTCTTCCTTGTTTCCAAGCATTTCTGATGGAATGATGATGCGGGCATTGCAGGGTAGTAGATTTGTTGCCTCGTCAAAATTTCAAACTCACCTGACTGACATGAAATTGGGTTTTGGTGATCTAGCTTCCAGCCTGCCTCACTTTGAGCCATCAGAGCAACTTGGTTTGCAAAATGATCATTTTCCTCCTATTCCAACGTGGAATCCTGACAAATTTGGTGCAAACTATTCTGGAGATTCAATTGCTGGACCCTCTGATAGGCCAGGCCCATCTTCGAATGTACCTAGTGAGAAACCTTTTCTTCTCAACTCTTTCAGAGCCAGCAACTTGGGTTCAAATCTGAATTGCCCCAGTAGCTTTAATTTACATAGAAAGGAGGATGATTATGGTTCAAAGAAGTATGGGAAGTTGCCTGGTCCTCTCGATAGATCAATACATATTTCATGTAATTGCCTCAATAATGGGGGAAGTGCTGAATCTGCCAGCTCCAGATTTCTCTCTGAGCCAAATAGAGAGCTGAATCTTTCCCATTCGAAGGGAAAAGTAGTTGGAAATAGTTCTTCCAAGAACAAGTTGCCTCACTGGCTTCAGGAAGCTGTCAGTGCTCCTGCTAAACTACCAGATCCTGATCTACCGCCCACTGTGTCAGCAATAGCTCATTCAGTTCGTGTACTATATGGAGAAGATAAACCAACCATTCCCCCATTTGTGGTACCAGGGCCCCCTCCTTCCCAACCGAAGGATCCAAGACGTGTTCTAAAGAAGAAAAAGAAACTGAAGTCGCATACGTTCAGGCAGGTGCAACCGGATGCAGCTGGAAGTAGTAGTCTCCCGTCAACGTGCTCAATTCCATTGACCCCAACATTTCAATTGCTTCCACAATCTGCAACTGGAACTGCGGGGCTTCCTTGGATTGAATCTGATGTCACCGTGCCTCCCCTTAACTTAAGTATGATGAATCCCTCATCTTCATCAGCATATCGAATTCCACCAAAGAAATCAAGCATGGGATTATCCCCCTCCCCTGAAGTGCTTCAACTGGTAGCATCGTGTGTTGCCCCAGGCCCACACTTGCCATCAACTTCTGCCGTGACGAATTCTAGCTTACTTGATGACAAGCTTCCATTGGCAAAACCTTTTAATGAAGTTGGATGTCCAGATTCGCAAGGTGTATTTGGCATAGGGAATGCTGAACAAAGCCCTCCCATTGATGTACAGGATCAGCCTCCAGAGATAGAAGATGAGCCCGAGAGTGGGGATTCTAGCAAGACTCGGTCTGATCCTTCTGGGGGTGAACGGCCTAATGTAGATGAAATATCATCAGAAGGCACTGTGTCAGATCATCCTTTGAGTGACCATGAACCATAACTGTTATGCAGGAGTAAAAGTGAAAAATAGTTATTCTTTGATGTACTAGAATTTTTGTAGGCATGATGCAGTGATTGATTATCTAGCGTTTATAGGATCATTTAGGACATCTCTAGTGTAAAGTTTCTGTAAGAGGAAATGAAATATATAGTGTTGCCTGCTTGCAGTGGCTTCTTTTGTGTCTTGCCTCCAGTTTGAGAGCTTCCTATTATTTGCCACTGCAAAAAATGAAAATTTCAATCTGCACAATGAGCTTCATTCTGCAGATCTAACTAGGTCATAGAAATTTGGAGGAAAGTTTCTTTCATGTTGCAGTAAGCTTCTGCCACGTATATTGTCTTCGAACTATATAAGCTGTGAAATTTTTTGTTTCATAGTCGAAAAATTTGTCCTCCTCAATGTGAAGTGACTTTGAAATCAGGTAGACTGTAAAGCATGGAAAAATAATGTGATGGAATCGATAATTCGTGGATTACATTTATTATGTTCGAATTCTTTGTCTATTGTTTAATATTTTAGTAACTACAGAATAATTGCTGACCAACAATCTGATTACTTTTTAACGAACATTAAAAATGGGATACAGGTCAACATTTTGACTATGTACGGCATGCGGAGTCATAGTCCACAACCAATAACAAATCTACATATATATATATATATTTTGAATATACATATATAGTTTTAGCAATATGGAAAAATGGAATGGAGGTTGGGATTGATTTAAGGCTTTTGGAAATCTGTTGGGCTCATTAAAATGGGGTCGCTTTGTTGGATAAATGTGGGCCGCCGCGAGTATGGAAAATGCCAAATATTGCGAGTGCTTCATTCTTCTCTTATTCTAGCCCTAGCCAAACTCAAAAGCTACTGCCAAACAAATTAAAAAAAAAAAACCTCTCTACTCGCTCTGCTCTCCTTGTCAGCCATCAATTTCCTTCCCTCTTTAATGCTTTCCTCCTTCAGCTCAGCTCAGGTAAACTCCTTGTGTTTTTTCTTCTTTTTTAATTCTATTTTAATTTGTTAATTTCCAATTTATATAGTATTCAATAATTTCCCCTCGTGTATATCTCTGGTAGCCGTTGGCTTTGTTCTTCCTCTTCTTCCTCACTGTCACTAATTGATGCCACTGCTTAATTATGTTGATTTTAGTTAAATATTACATGCCTCACCTCATATAATCTGTTTTATTTCCCTTCTTGCTTTCTAGTACCATTTCTTTTTTTTTTTTTTTTTCTCTCAATTTCTCTTTAAATATATACTAACAATGTCTGCAAACGCAATTGCTGATATCTTTGTCAAAGCTTCAATCTTTCATTTTGTTTCCATGTATTTATTCGATTTAAAACACGCCATTTTTGTCCTCACTTGAGTTAAATAAATTTGAAGCATTTTTATTTTTATTTTTAACTTTTCTTTCGCTAATCACTTGCGCTTTTCGTTAAGAACATATTGATTCATTCGTTAATGCTTCCCACAGGGATCCATCTTAAGGAAAATGTGAACATTATTAACATGATGGATAGCGGTGATGTAAGGCATGACAGAGTCACAGCCAGTGCCAGTGGCTATTCTATTAACACTGCTGGGGTTCATAAGGAAAATGCTGCTGCTGCTTTATTAGATGCTAGACTCGCCGCATATGCTGGTGATGAAGTAAACTTGAATTCTGTAAAAAGTTTAGAGCCTCATGATGGAATGGAATTTGAATCAAAAGAGGAAGCATTTTCATTCTACAAAGAATATGCCAAATCTGTTGGCTTTACTGCTATAATAAAAGCTAGCCGTCGATCAAGAATATCTGGAAAGTTTATTGATGTAAAATTTGTATGTACTAGATATGGAAATGACCGAGAGTCCATTGGAATGGACACTCCAGAACCTGTTCCAACTGCAGATATTGCAACAACCATTCCTGTCAAGAAGAAAAGAGGCAGAGTTAACCGATCATGGTTGAAAACAGACTGCAAAGCTGGTATGCATGTTAAGAGAAGGGAAGATGGAAGGTGGGTTGTTCGTTGTTTCATAAAGGAGCATAACCATGATATATTCCCAGACCAGGCATATTTACCTAGAGGTCATAGAAACTTAGGTCCAGGTAACAGTAATGTCCATACAATGCATGCTATCCCTGGAAGAACCAAAAAGATGTATGTTTCCATGTCCAGACAATCAGGTGGGCACAAGAAACTTGAGAATCATAAGGGTAGTGAAACAAATCGATTAAGTAGCTGTCAGATCTTGGGTTTAGAGGAGGGGGATGTTAAAGTTTTGCTGGATCATTTTCTCTATATGCAAGATGAAAATCCAAACTTCTTTTATGCTATAGATCTCAATGAAGAGCAGCGCTTGAGAAATGTGTTTTGGGTTGATGCCAAAGGAAGACTCGATTATGGCTATTTTAATGATGTGGTTTTTTTGGACACCACATATATCAAGAATGAATATAAATTACCATTTGTTCCTTTTGTTGGTGTAAATCATCACCTTCAGTATCTGTTACTTGGTTGTGCATTAGTTGCTGAAGAAACTAAATTAACCTACATCTGGCTTATGCGAGCATGGCTTAGAGCAATGGGTGGACGTGCTCCAAAAGTAATACTAACTGATCACCACAAGGCATTGAAAGAAGCTGTAATAGAAGCCTTTCCTGATTCCCGTCATTGTTTTTGCTTATGGCATATATTGAGCAAGATACCTGAGAAGCTTAGTTATGTTACGGGGCAACATGAAAATTTCAAAACCAAATTTGATGAATGCATCTTTAAATCTTATAAGGATGAACAGTTTGAAAAGAAATGGTGGGAATTGGTTGATAGATTCAATTTAAGAAATGACATCTGGTTTCAATCATTATATGAGGATCGCCAACAATGGGTACCAACCTACATGAGAGGCATTTTTCTTGCAGGGATATCTACAGTGCAACGATCAGACAGTGTAAGCTCTCTTTTTGACAAATATCTGCAAAGGAAAACTATGTTAAAAGAGTTCTTAGATCAATATAAAACAATTTTGCAAGAGAAGTCTGAAGAGGAAGCTAAAGCTGATTTTGAAACTTGGCATAAACCACCTGGATTGAAATCTCCGTCACTCTTTGAAAAACAAATGGCACATTTGTACACACATGCAATATTTAAAAAATTCCAGGTTGAGGTTTTGGGAGGGATTGCTTGTCATCCAAGAAAAGAAAGTGAAGAGGGAGGTGCTACAACTTTTAACGTTCTTGACTTCGAAAAAAATCAAGATTTCATTGTGGTGTGGAATGATACGACATCAGATATATCTTGTTTATGTCGTGGATTTGAATTTAATGGGTTTCCTTGTCGACATATACTGATTATTCTACAGTTGTCTGGTGTACAAAGCATCCCCTCACAACATATATTGAAACGTTGGACAAAGGATGCAAAGAATAGGCAAACAACAGGAAAACATTCAGATGTTCTTGCGAGTAGAATGCACCGTTACAATGATCTTTGCCGACGGGCCTTTAAATTGGGTGATGAAGGGTCTCTGTCTCATGAGAGTTATAATGTTGTACTTAATGCTTTGGAAGAAGCATTAAGAAAATGTGAGAGTGTAAATTACTCAATTCAGAGTGTAACAGGACCAAAATTAGCACAAATTCAAAGCCCTCATAACTTTGAAGAAGTGAACCAAATTAAAAGCACTACCAAGGCAGTCAATAAGATTAATACATCCCATAAAAGACAGGTCAGGGAGTTATTTATGTAATTATTATTAAATTCTACTTTCTTTTTTACCAAAGCTCTTTGATTTACATCATACCTGTTCTATATCTTTTAGGGATATCCTGAAACAGAGATCTCAAACTCTGGGATGCCTGACAGCTGGCAAGAAATGGTTAGTGGTGATTGTATCCCTGTTTTAATAGACTTTTACTACTCAAAGAAATTTTGCTTGTCAAAGTTATCATAGAGCAATATCTTGATATGAATTCCTTGGTTTCGACAGGGACAATCAAATACACAAGAGAGCATTAATAGGATGGTATGACTTAGTCTTACAGTGACCATAATATGGAAAAGTAAACTTTTACCAAATTTATAAAATGAATAGTTTTACTAAAATTCTTGGTTTTTTTTTTTTTTATAGGAACGGATGAATTCAAGAACTCCAGCTCTCGATAGCTATTTTGGTGCTCAACATCTTGTGCAGGGAATGGTATGTGATTCTCTCCTGCCCCTGGAAGAGTGTCCTTGTATGATTATTTAGTTATCGATCAAGGATTTCCCTAATAAGCTTATTCACAAATTGTTCTACCCATTAAATCTTTGATTTGGTTCTTATAGACTTCTAATAATCAACATAGGATATGAATGATATGGTTTAAAAAGCATGTTGGCTTATGTTGTCTTTGGCACAATTCTTAAACGGTATGATTTCATTCTTGTTGCAGGGACAATTGAACTCTATTGCCCCACCGCATGAAGCTCATTACACTACTCAACAAAGAATGCATGGGATGGTATGGCTTTCTGTATGTGATTGCTGAGAAATTTGCCTTTTATACAGATAATGATGGTATTGAGGGTTTCATGCTTCATGGGCCATACTACAAGAAGTATGGTTCCCTTGTATTGAGCTCTCCTCAAATTATCACTTGTGATGATGCCTATTGTACCTTAACAGGGACAGTTACATTTCAGACCGCAAACTATTCCCAGTTGTTATGACATTCAGGATGGCTTACAAGACATGGTACTCAAGTTGCTGTTTGAAGTTTCTTGCATTTTGTTTCTATGGTTTCTTACATCAGGATTTTGCTCTTATGTCAGGACCAACTTAATGTAGGATCCCCTCAGTTGCATGGCATGGCATCAAAACAGCTGCATTCCAAACACATCTCTGGTTAGGTGGCATTATAGAACTTGTCTAACAAAGGTGATTGAAGCGTTTGATGTCAGTAATTGATTATTGCCATCAATAAACTTGGAGTCAATAAGCATCCAATTTTTTTTTATATTTGTTGGTAAAATTTTTCAAGCTTGGATCTGAAATTAATTAAGGCTTCAAAGCTCAAACTAGTTCAATGAGGTCCAGAAAGCAATTGACGGTCCTAAAATCTTCAAATCCAAAGGAATCAATATTTTAACTGGAAAGTTTTATTTATTTACTATATGTTATCATGCAGGTAGGGTTGACTGTTGAGATATTGTATTTGGAAGAAGTGAGACTGACATTGGTTTCATGGGCATTAAAGAATTCACTACATCTAAAAGTCTTGAAGATGCTCTCAAATTCCCTTTTTCTTTCTTTCTCTTACTAGTAGTATTCGATCCCTGGTGTTTCTGTAATGCCGTAATAGCAATTCTGTAAAAGATGTTTTAGGCCGTGGCTTCTTAGAATGGTTTATGCCTGAATCTATTCTTCTAAGAGCTTTGCCATTTGTAAATTATATACAATAATGTATTCTGTTGTGTTGTAATTTCATGAGTGTTGGGCTTCTGGGAATCTTTCTGTAATTTTTGAAAATATTTTGATTGTTAAAATTCAAATCTTCAAGGTTTTACTTTGTATTATCACTCAAACAACACAAGAAGCTAATAAGGCTTTTGGGAGATAAAAAGTGGTTAATAAGGCCATGAGTGTTAATTTGATTTTTCCAAAAGCTCGAGAAATGAAAAAAAATAAAATTGTAAAGGCAACGTGCGAAATGAAATATAAGAAACAGTTTAGGAAAAAGAAAAGGAGAGCAAGTTAAACAGGGAAGTACAGATGCGATAGAACTTAAAAGAAGAGTTGAAATATTGGAGAGTCCGTTGGAGAGGGACATATACAAAAAAAAAAAAAGGGACAAAACAAACAGAGATATGTTGGGGGTAGCTACTGCTGCTGCTTCTCCTTCTACTGCCGCCACCACCGCTACCACTGCCTACGCGGCGCACACTCTCAACCCCATACTCCGCGCCTTTCAGAGGAACAATTTCACGTCTCCTTCTTATCACTCGATTATCTGCGGTCGCTTCCATTTTCTCTCGCTACGCTCCTGCAACGGTTTTTCAACCAAAACCATGGCTGACTCGCAAACCCTCGCTGTTCCGAAACATCACCCTCAGTCCTCTTCCTCTGGTAATATTCTTACCTTCGTTTTCCCTTTTATAATCTTCTTTAACAATGTTCCTTTCTTTTCCCATTTTTTTATATAAAAAAAGAGATGGCTTTTGCTGGTTTTTCTGCTCCTTGTCAGCCAATAAGCAAGCACTGATATCTTTGTCAGAAAAAAAGGATCTGGCCTTTCTTGGCAATGGCCTTCAAGAATTAGGGTAAATAAATAACACCCTTTTTTTTTTTCTTTTTGGATATGTTCATAATTTAATGCGTATTTCAAAAATAAATAAATAAACCCTTTAATATTGACTATTTAAGAGTGCTAGAAGAAATGAGAAGGTGACTTTTTGATACAATCAACATGATACGTGGACGAACTGACTTGACTACGGCTTCTGTTGCTTATTCGATTCTGTTCAAGAAAACTTTTTTATTCGGAGTTGTTAGAGTCTGTGTTATCACTATCAGTATAAAATGTAAAGCAGCAGTTTTCAAGCATATTTGGTTTGAACTTTGGAAACTATAGGTACACAATTGTTTCAACCGGAGGAACTGCATCTGCCTTAGAAAATGCTGGTGTCTCTGTTACCAAAGTGGAGCAGCTTACTCTTTTCCCTGAAATGGTAACCTGGTTCTTATTTTGTGCTTTGCTGTCCTTCTTAAATATCTCTCTTTTTTTTTTTTTTTGCATTTCATATCCTTGTTAGAGTTTCTAGGACTATTTAAGGGCAGAATCAAAATCAAACTGAAGTGATTTTGAGATCCTCAATGATAATTTATGAACCTTTTACTGCAACTTGAGCATGTTTTTAACATGTTTTGCTAATTAATGCCATTGGAAAATGAGATGAAAAAGACTTGAGCTAGATTAATTGTCAAAGCCCACTTATTATCTTCTCTGTTAATAATTGATCACCATGCTTTCCTAATTATTTTATGTATAGTATTATGCCTTCTATTAGCGATTAATTTCATCTTTGAAGCTGTTTGAGTTCTGAGATTAACTGTAGTGTCTTTTACAGCTCGATGGTCGTGTTAAAACATTGCATCCCAACATACATGGTGGTATTCTTGCAAGAAGAGACCGAAAACTTCACATGGAAGCTCTTAACAAGCATGGAATTGGTGAGTTTTAAACTTGCAGTGAAATTCTTGTATGCCTAAGGGCTTTTTCCCCCCAGTTTTTTGTCATGCTTTCCAATTTTTTGTCTTTTAGCTAAAATAGTTTCTGTTCAGGTACATTTGATGTGGTGGTTGTGAATTTGTATCCCTTTTATGATAAAGTTACTTCCACCGGAGGAATTGACTTTGAAGAGGGCATAGAGAATATTGATATTGGTGGCCCTGCCATGATTAGAGCTGCTGCGAAGGTAATTGTTAATGAGTTAGTAGTGAAGTTGTAGTCATTTGGTGTATTTTTTGGCCCTAAGTCTGTATTAACTTGAATCAATGTTATTAGTTTAATGTTCCAATAAATTGTCTTATTTTTGACCAAGTGGATAAAAAAAAACTGAATAGGTAATTAACCACATTGGTAATGAAGGGCAACACAACTTGTTGATTTTAAGGGCTATAAAATTAGGGTTGCTTATAGTCTTAAATCGGTATTATCTTCCAGATAATTTCTAATCCATAAGTGCAGTGCTAGAAGCACAGGAATTAATCATTCCATAACATACAAGCGGAATAGTTTAAGCCATTTTTTATTTTAATTATTTTGTATTGCAAAATAACACCTTCGTACAAACAGAATCACAAGGATGTCTTGGTTGTTGTTGATTCACAAGACTATCCTGCACTGCTTGAATTCCTTAAAGGAAGTCAGGATGACCAACAGTTCCGCAGAAAGCTTGCTTGGAAGGCTTTTGAGCATGTTGCTTCTTACGATTCTGCAGTTTCTGAGTGGCTCTGGAAACAGACTGTTGGAGGTATGTGTTAGCTACAAAACATAAATTTGGTCACTGTATTGGAAATGATCTCTAGTCTTTTGAAGATGTTTGGGAGAAAGAGACAGACTTGTTATGCAATAAGCTGAGGGCTGACGTAACAAAATATACTATAAAATTAAAAGAAAATATTTTACTTTTCTTTTTCAAAAGTAAAGCTACAAACTCATTGGATTTGTATTGCTACCTATAATTATTACAAGTTTAGATTGACAGAATTCTTTACATGTTGGTAGATAAATTCCCTCCCAGCTTGACGGTGCCAATATCCCTCAAAAGTTCACTTCGTTATGGTGAAAACCCTCATCAGAAGGCTGCATTTTATGTTGACAAGAGTCTCTCTGAGGTCAATGCTGGTGGTATTGCAACAGCTATTCAACACCACGGGAAGGTGAGATGGATTGAGTATGTGATCTTATTATTGTTTATGCTCCAGAATTAGTTATGCTTATGAATAAGTTAAAGAAAAGATGAATTATTGAATCATCAACCTGTTTTTTTCTTTCTGCCTTTTCTTGTCCAAGAAAGCATTTGCTGTTACTAGTTTTTACGCAGCTTTGCTCTGTTGATAAACTCAGTTAAAGGATGTGAACCTTTGTCAGTCACCATACTTCTTCCTTCCAATTATTGTATTGTGACGATAAAAATTTGGCTTCTATCATACAAATACGATAGAATTTTTATTGTTCCCTATTTCGAAGGGCCTCTTGTTTCATTGCTTTTTTTTTTTATCATTGTGGTTGTAGACATAAAAGCCTTATGAAATTGGAGTTTTATTATTCTTTTTTTCTCAATTTTGGTCTCAGCCTTTGTTATGTGTACTTGTGAGTTTTAATGAATGGAATATCCTTAACTCTTTTAATCTTGGTGCAGGAAATGTCATATAATAACTATTTAGATGCTGATGCAGCATGGAATTGTGTGTCAGAGTTTAGGAACCCTACATGTGTGGTTGTAAAGCACACAAATCCCTGTGGGGTAGCTTCTCGTGATGATATCCTTGAGGCTTACAGGCTGGCTGTGAAAGCAGATCCAGTGAGTGCATTTGGTGGAATTGTAGCCTTCAACATAGAAGTAGATGAGGTAAGCTAATAATCTTCTTGGAATCCTTATATGGAGTTTTGCTGCCATTGTTTCTTTAGATATTGGGGGGTGGGATTGTTCAAATCATCTTATCTTTATGCTACCTTCAACATCAAGATAGATTGATAAACCCTTTTAGACCATTTGATTGCTTACTTTGTTTGGCTTTTAGGCCCTTGCTAAGGAAATTCGAGAGTTCCGAAGCCCAACAGATGGTGAAACTCGGATGTTTTATGAGATTGTTGTGGCTCCCAAGTATACAAAGAAGGGGCTTGAGATCCTCCGGGGAAAATCAAAGACATTGAGGATCCTTGAGGCAAAGAAGAATGAGAAAGGAAAGCTCTCACTTCGACAAGTTGGTGGTGGTTGGTTAGCCCAGGATTCAGATGACTTGACCCCCCAAGATATCCAGTTTAATGTAGTATCTGAGAAGAAGCCACAAGATAGTGAGCTTCGTGATGCAAAATTTGCATGGCTATGCGTAAAGCATGTCAAGAGCAATGCTATTGTTATAGCAAAGGTTTGTATTTTTTTTTTTTCTGTTTTTGCTTGTATATCCTGAATTCGGGTTAAAATGGTGCTTAAATGACCTTGTTAGTACAGATTCTTATAACAAACATGCCCACTCTCTCTTCTAAAAAAAGTATGGAAAAAACAGCCTTTAAAGGAAAAACATAAGTAAGATTTTCTGACCCTCTACACCATTTGTCAGGACAACCGAATGTTGGGTATGGGAAGTGGGCAGCCAAACCGTCTGGAGAGTTTGAGAATAGCTTTGAGGAAAGCAGGAGGTGAGGTCAAAGGAGCTGCTTTGGCTAGTGATGCGTTCTTCCCATTTGGTAATTACTACCTTAACAAGTTTTTGCACTTTAATGTTGTTAAGATCATATTTCACTTATATAGTTATATACCAGTTTAAGTAAATAGCAGAGAATGTTCGCAGTAAATGGCATGTGTTCTGGCATGTAATGGAGGAATAATTCCTCAATCTCTATTAAACTGGATGTAGACCGAGAGTTAGCAAAGGGCCTCTATAATCTGTTTGCTGACAGTGATGTGTTTCTTTTATAAATAGCGTGGAAAGATGCAGTGGAAGAAGCTTGCCAAAGTGGTATTGGAGTCGTTGCTGAGCCTGGTGGGAGCATTAGAGATGGGGATGCCGTCGACTGCTGTAACAAGTATGGGGTTTCATTGCTTTTCACAAATGTAAGGCACTTTAGGCATTGATTATTGCAGTTTTCCTTTTTGCCTTTTTGAGTTCAACCCGAGCTCCAATGGGGAAGACTGTAATTGCAGGAGGATGCATGAGTATGACGCAATGTTATGCAATTTATATGACTATCTTCACAGCTAAGAAATGTTGTGTTTATATTTAAAATTTTGAAGTTGATCTCGCAGTTTGTACCGGACAATATTGCTGTTTTTAGTTTGCCAAAATAATAAAAAAGCGAGCTTAATTTAGATTGTCCAGAGCCCCTGACACTTTGACCTCAATGGCTCCCCGCAGTTAGAAAAAGCAAACGTGGCCAACTGCATAATCTTGGATCCAATTCTTCCATTCATCAAATCAAATAATTCTCAGTCAAAAAAATAAATACTACAAATTTTAATTCAATTCATAATCTGAGCACAACCGTCTGAAGATTAGTACCATCTATGAATAAACACAGAGAATGCGACCTTGTGTCAATTGAATCAAATTATGCAGGGCAAAACATAGAAGGGAGCATTATAAAGTGTGCAGGCAATATTTAAATGTGTATCGTTTCTTCTGGTTCAGAATGTAAGTTGTGTTGTGCCAATTGATTCTCAAGCTATTGATCCTTTAACAAAGCCTCTAAATTCTTCCAAAAGGGAAAACCATCTTCTTCCCCCTGGATCATGGGAACATTTTTCCTTATAAATCCAACCCAAAATCTCCACAACTTGGAAGCATGCTCTAGAACTAGTGTTTACATTGCATCATCCCAGAACCAGAAGTTGCAGCCAACGATTAACACTAGAAGTGAAATTTACCGGATAGAAGATGCGTAAGTAAAAGCTTTGACCAGAAAGGTAAAACTTGTACTATTAGAATTTAAGTTAGCAGCTTGAAAAGAATAAAGCAACATAATGGATCCTCATTTAAATTATAAATTATTCTCCTAGAAATAACGTAATGAACATTGTAAAAGGACGAACTGGTTTCCACATATCGTTAAGAAAGATTCCAACTTGATAAGCTCAAAGATCAACAGAGTTCTTCAGACTTAAGCTGTTGTAGAAGTTTCCTTCAAAAAAAAAAAAAAACCAAGTACATTCCTAGATAAAATCCCAAGGTGAAAACCAAAAGTACCTGTTGCTTTGCTCTCCATCAAATGTTCATTCCAAAACAACTTTAGCACCAAGAGCTTTCATCTTCTCAATTATTTGTTCACCTTCTTCCTTTGAGACACCCTTTTTCAAGACAGAGGGTGTTTTCTCAACTAAGTCCTTAGCTTCCTTGAGACCCAAATCAGTAAAACTCCTAACCTCCTTTATTATTTTAATCTTTGAGGCAGCTTCATATGATTCCAACTTCAATTCAAAAACAGTCTTATCTGGTTTTTTCTCTTCCTTAGCCGCCGCCCCACCACCTGTCGCTTTCGTTGCCATTCCAGCCAAGCCAACAGCAGCACCACCCTTCATGACTCCCACAGTGGGCGGCTTGGTCATTCCACGTTTCTTCATTATAATAGAGCCTAACTCGGAAATTTCAGACAAAGTAAGGCCAGAGATTTCATCAACGAGTCTCCAAACACGCTCCGTTGGAGGGCTACGGTGTTCAGTGGGATCGAAATTAGAAGGATCATAGTCGGCTGGGAGTCTCCTTTGATCAATATCAACTTCTTCCTCATCTTCTTGTTCTTGCTTTGCGGGCTGACTAAAATTTCGAGATAATCTGTTTGAGCTGAAAGCATTGAGAGTTATAATATGAGATTCAAAGGGTTTTCTGCCAAAACACCCATTATGCAAAGGATACCTTAATCTTAAAAACAAGCTCATTTCTTTCGACAGGATCCAATGAGTCGCAAATGAAATGATGCAGGATTCAAGGAATAAAACCCTAGAGAGAGAAAGGGTTTTGGTTGCATTTTTTCTTGCTTTTACCTTTGATTGGGCTGAGCTAGATAAGCCAACCATGAATCAAATAAAACCCAATTGAGATATTGGGTATTTCCAGCCAAAAGCTTAGTGGGCTTCTGTTTCTCCTTTTAGTCTTTTACTTTTTAGAAGGGTAACATAAATAATTAACTCTAAGCCCTCCAAAGAAGAGGTTCGATAAAACCCAAGCAGCCAACCCACTGACTATTAGGTTTAGCGGAGCCCATCAGCCCATGAGCCTGTGTTAGTTTTTTTATGCCTTCGTACTTTGTTGTTCACGGGAAGTAATAAACGGAAAGAGTAGCAAAAAGAGACACAGTTGGTGGAGGAGAGGAGAGATAGAAATGGACAAGGGAAAGGTCAAAGTGGAGAAGATAAGGTTCTTAAAATATCCCCCTAAATTCATTATCCCAAGAAACGTTTTTTCTTTCTTACATTAGATGACTTTGTGATTTCAACTCACAACTCTCAACTGAAGCTGATGATTCCTCAGGTGGGTCCTTCCGAAACCGATGCTGTCGGGATTTCCTTGCAAATTTTGTAGAAAAGAGTAACAGAACTCGGGTTAAGCCGTTCAATGGTGAGTTCTGAAGAGGATTCTAAATTGATAAATGATAAACACACAAATGAGTTAATGCACCAAACACTTCAAATACCACAAGGCACCACTACCCAATAATGATAAATATGAAAAGCCTGAAATATTGCAAAGTCTTTAGTTCGTACATTAGCATTTTGACTCACTATCCATATAAATACATCCATCCATGCCATACAATGGAACGTGCAAAAACTAGAATGAAATTTCACAAGGTGCATGAAATGTCCTTCCACGGGATACGGACTCTAGGTTTTCTCCGCCATAAGAACAAAGCGGTGATACCTCCACACCTGCGTTCATGATCAACATGTTAAAAGGATTAAGAAAAATATGATTTGGCATATGTCACACCATGAAACACTAAGAGACCCATAAACAACCAAGAAAATTAATGCTTTAATTGAGCTTGATATAAATAAGAGAATATGCAAAGTCAACCATGAAATTACCAGTTGCATATAATGGCACTGAATGTGTTAAGAAGCCACCTGCAGCGACTATCCAACGAGTATGCAGTCTCAGAACAAGCAGCCTCGCGCTGTCTGGAGTGTCATAATTTGAACCATTGGCATTTTTCACTGGTGCAAACTCTTCCTCTCGTAATACCTGCATATTCGGAACCATGAACAATTCGATGAGTAGTTAATCCCTTGTTGCACTTGCCATATACAGCAAACAAAAACAACAGTTGGAACAGGAAAGGGATGACAAGAGATTACCTCAAACAGAGCAGTTGAAGGAGCATATGGAAATGCATCAAATATGAACTGCTCTAGTTTCAAACCCATTGTATAACCATGAATAGAAGGAATTTTTTTCTCCGCCAGATGGTAACTGCAGTCAAGACAAATATACATATTAACATCCTTTTTGAGGGTTAAGTGGGAAGAAACTACAAGCAATGACAAATTCGATGTACAGAGGTACCAAGAAATATAAAATCGATGTCAGAAACTCTTAAAAGACAAAAGATTGCTCAATTAAATTGTATTACTTAATACATCCATGACCCACCCACCCACCCACCCACCCCCCAAACACACAAAAAAATCCTAAAGGACCCTATGAGCTCAGCCTCTTTTCTTTCTCAATGGAAACTATCATTTCAGCAGATTTCTGTGATCAAAATAATTGCTGTCAACTTGAAAAGCTAGTACGAAGGAAACAGAAAGCAGTCATTGATCACATTTGTTGTCAGATCAAAGAAAGAGAGGAAATGCATCAATCATGCAGACATGGATTTGCATTTTACTAACAGATTATGATTATCTCAGTAACAACAACACTAATTGACAAAGTAATGCTCAAGGTATATCAGATCAAAATATGTATCCTGAAGGGAAGGAATGACGTCACTAACATGCAGTCTTTCTCAAGGCCATTTGCCACTTGGTTTAGGAAATCCAAAGTAAACATGTGTAAGCACACCTGAAAAGCATAAAGTCATTAGCATAAGGTATATAATCACATATTTAGTGTCATATTTATTGACAAATATTTTAGGTATTTCAATGTCACACTTATTTGAAAACATGACAAATCCAAATTGAAGCCTGTGGTTGCCATAGATAATTAAAAGCCATCAAAGAACATAATTGTTTTCAAATTTTGAATATTCGGGAGCATTTATCTCTTTAGCAATGATTTTCAATTTTCTATATAATCTACATCTAAATAAAAGGAAATAAGCAATAAACAAAGTCATTCAAGTCTGAGAGTAAGCGCACAGCCAAGTTATATGAATTCACGAGCAGCAACCAATTTCCATAACCCTCAAAATATTTGTTTCTTGAAATGGCTTCAACAATTATTTTCTCTTATGGCTACCAGCTTCAAGTCTCACATAAGCCTACAACCTAACACGCATACAATCTCACATAACAAAGCCTAAAAAAGCATAAATACAGCATACTTGAATCCAAAAGCACTAGATTTTGTCAAAAGCAAGCAATATTTCATCAAAACAGGTGACAAATACTATACATTACTCCAGCAAAAACGAAGACGTCCAGTTTGCTGGTTAATCGCAGAAGCCAGTGATTGATCTAATTCACTGTATTCAACCACAGTAAGTGGTCCACCTTTACCTCGCCTTACAAAAACACCAACCTTTTCCTGGGGATAGGCCTGTAACCAAATTACTAGAAGAAATTAAGACATTATATAACCTTAAAAAGATTAAAGGTTATAATATTATCAAATTCCACAAGTTTACACAACAAGACCATAAAAATCAAGTATTGACATGCCATCATGGAATTGGCATTCTTCAAGTAGAGTAAACAAGGTGCTGTGTAATTCATGGAAGAATTAGCATGTTAGCACATTAATTAACATGAGGGGTGAGTTAAATATAGCACAACAGGTAAATGTAACATATGCTACTAAAGAATAAACAAATTGATGACATGACCATTTCTACATGTTCAAAAAGACAAAGCAGCACTCAATAAATGGAATTTTCTGTTTTCTTACCTTTTTCCCTCATCTTTATTTGCAATATCCAAAGAAAGCTCAAAGAAGTATCAGAACTCAAGTATTTAACTGGTAGTTTAGAAAACGAGAGATAGAACAAATGTTTTGAACTGTCGCAAATTGCAATCCAGCTTAATACTTTTCTCAAATATAGATAATATACTCAAAAGAGTTGAGCAATGGAGGCAAGTGAAATTCTCAGATATACATGAACATTGAGAACATTAACTACCTTTTGGACAACTTTGGCGGCAGCAGCTACACCTTTATCAATGAAATATCCCAAGAAAGTTGGATCAGCTACACGAACCTGCACTTGAGACCCTAATCACTGTCTCTTTAAATAAGAAATATCATGGAAAATTTTAACCAAACAAAATAAAGTAAGACAGACAAACTCACCAATGCATTGTCAACACCATAGCAATCCACAAATTTAATCCCTCGCATGGCCATATCCTCTAACAATCTTGTGGATTTCAGAGCTGAACAATAAATTAGGAATCCAATTAAAAATTCATAAAATAGAAGAAACCATCACTCTAGTAGTTAGTTGAACAGCAATCGCCACATTTTTTGTGCATTACTTTCAAAATACCTGAATATACTCCTCCATTCCCATCTGGAGACTTAGCTACCTGGCTTAAAAAAAGGTACTCATGTGACCACCACATTTGAAAAAGTACTTAGAACAAGAAGCAAATTGTGAAATCAAAGAATATTATTTTTAGACAAATGAAAAACTTTTAAGTATTATTATTGCAATTAAAGAGATACTTCTAGGAGAATAGTGTAGCAGGAATACAGCCATCAAATTACACAACAGAATCAGAAATAATTTTTTCCTTCGAAAACTTATAGACAGTAATTTTACTTCTATCCTTTCAGCAATCAGCATTCCTTTACAAGAATTCTCAACAGTAAAGCGAAGTTCCAATGTTATGATAGTACTTGTTAACATCTGATGCAAATCAGTTATATGGTAAGTAGAACTGTTTAGGGACTTTGATCACCTCGTAAAGATGCTCTGAAACTTTTAGGATGAAAATAACTATATGTCCAAAATTATAACTTGAACTTTTATTTTACTCAACCAAAAGAATATTTCACTCTAAATTCTGCTCATTGACAAAAGAAACCATACCTTGAATGGTGTCTCCATGATATATCGACCATCCTTTGAGATACAAGGTATGGTGCCTTGCTGGAAAAAAGTTACCTGCACCATGTCCACATCTCAAAGTCAGCAAAATTAAAATAAGTAAATAAAAGATAAGCCATATGGAAATGAGAGAATCAGAAACCATCTTACTTGATCTGCTTCAAGACCAAAGTATTTATGACTTTCAAAGAATTTGCGTGTTGCATCATCCGTAAATGGACTAGTCATTATGTACCAGTGTATTGTCACCGAACCAGCTGAAGTTACAGATATCAAATCATCAGTATAACCTACAAACAGAATAGAAACATAGAGAGTAGATAAATAGGAATTTTACCCCCATTCATAGCTTGTGCAGCTAGTCTTTGAACACAAAAAATCCGCTCAGCTTGCAGTTGAAAAAGTGACTTCCCAGAAGGAAGTCCAATGTCTAAAATCAAAATATAAAAAATATAAACAATAAATTTCAGGTAATAACATGCAGTCTTTTCTAAACAAACAACTAAAGCCATATACAGGCTTTTCTAAACAAAACAATTAAAGCTATTCAAATATTTAAGAAAAGTTTCTAACATCATTAATTATGCAACAGGTTCGTTACTTTTTCTCTCCTCAATTTTATATTTATAAACATGCTTTTATTTTCTAGATCTTTCTGCTTATCAATACATAGCCAGGATATTTTAGATTTAACCATTACACTTAACTCTCTTCCAGAACCTTATCATCCTCAATTTTATTCAAATTTGTTATATGGTCAGAATTAAATAATAATTTCAGAATTCAGAGAGTTTGGCAACCAAGAGGAGTGAAAATAAAGAAAGCATTAAAGATAGGTCAACTGTTTTGATTTCCATAAACGACATTCCCTGAACATTTCCTGTTCAACACCACAAAATTACGTGACAAGCATCATCCAGAGAAACTTGAATACATCATAAGATTTTCAAAATCATGTCAGCAATGATTAAAAAGTACTCACTGAAACATCCCTTGGGATCCGAACTTCCAAGCCTAGTGCCCTGCAGCAAATTTCAATCAGAAAGAGATAAGACAAAAGAATCAGAAAAATGGGAAATAAAAAAGGGTTACTAAACAGAGTCTATTATCCATAAAGCAGATTTAGATCCGTTTTTCAGTAATGAAAAAGTATATAATCCTGTAAAGCTTCTTTTTAAAAACAATAATTATTTGCAGAAACAGATTGAAGCAGCACTTTCTAAGTTAACATATCTTTGTCACTAATTATCATTACTAGACATCCAATAAAGCAGCATCATACCAACCTTTAGTAAATAGTGATTATCCACTTACGACATCATGGGCTCTGCTTTTTACATTAATAAGTGAACCCATTGGTTACAAAAATGTCTAATGTGGGAACCACTCAAAAGCAACGTCATTCCAAAATTATGGACGGAGATAGAATACTCCTCATCCAAGAAGCCGTCATAACAGCATCATTTATTTATTAAATTTTTCTAGGTGAGACATAAAATATCGATCAACAGGAAGCAAAATGAAGTCCCGCACTAAGTATTGTATGCAATAAATCTACATTATAAAAGATAAAAGAAATGGAGATAGATAATATACCTGGCCACCAGATAGAAGCAAAACAGCCAATTTTCCTTCTGATATAGCCTTCAATCCCATCTTCCACCATCTTTCCCTCTCCTCCATCGTTCTCTCCTCTACCGATGACACGCAACTCTCAGGAACTGGCTCTATTGCTGCCACCGGCAGTCCTAAAAGAAAATCATATTTAAAAAATAACCCAAATAGAGAATGCAATCCAAGGATTTCTATATATAGATATAGGCACCTTGAGATCGAAGAGAACAGCGAATGATCCGATCTATTCTGGACAGATCCAAACTCTGAAGTATGCAAACCAAAGTTCAACTATTAATTAAGAAGCAAATTTTACTTAGCTCTATTCAAGTTTTTCTAGGAGAAGACAATCTTATTATCGTTGGCTTCATGATTCAAACGACCGAAGCGGAATACTTTTGAGTCGAACTTGCTTGGAATTGAAGAAATATCAGTCAAAAGTTACAAGATTTAGAAGCGAAATTGAATAGTTGGAATCGAAGAAAGACGTTGCAGTTGAAACTTAGCATGCCCTTTAGAATAATAATAATAATAATAATAATAATAATAATAATAATAATAATAATAGGTGAAGTTAAAGATGTAGAAGAAATGACCTCGATGTCCTTGACGAGGAGGTGGCGTTCGTCAGGGGAAAGCTCGTCCCAAAGGGCGAAAGCGTCTTCCTGGCCATAATCCTTGAGCCTCTCGAGTAATGCTTGCGGCGGGGGTGACGTCGGTGGAGGCAGCGGTCCAGCTGCAGCGTTGTTGTGTATCCCCACCACCATCGTCGGTTCCCTCATTTGTCTCTTTGGCGGTACGTTTTGCAAGATCTATGTGTTTTTCTTTCGTGTATCTTTGGGGCTTTGCTTAGAGGCTCTAGCTGCAGAGAGTTTAAGACACAAGAGGGAACCAACTTCGGGTGTGTGTGGACATGTATGAAATGACTTCAATGCCCTCTCCTTCCATTCCCAATTACGGCATAACAAACTGTTAAACTATCCCAAGTTGCGGCCTCTACTGTTAAAAAGAATTTAACGTTATGCCACACTTTGGTTGGTTTCTATAGAGTGGCAAAAATGGTGGTGGGTGTCAACTGCTAACTTTTAAGGTTGGTAGATAGAAAGTTTAGGCAAAAGGCATGGAATTTGCCATTTCTTAATTGTTGACTAATCTTTGGTTTTGCCACCTTCTCCTTCCTTTTGTAGGATTATTCTTTTATTGCTCTACGCTTATGCCACTGGAACCACCGACATATATATAAATAAGATATATGTTCAAATCAAATTTAGCATTATTTTCACATGGATGACTCATTCTCATGGTCAGAGTCAAAGCAAGCATTATGCGATATGAGGGCAATCCAGTTGTTCATTTTAGCATTTTCCATTTTGTTGGATTATTTTTCTCATTTGATTTCAACATTAGTATATAATAGCTGTTGGAATATGATCATTTTCCATTTTGTTACAAATTAAGAAACGATTATAATCAAAGAGAAACCGTCAGCCATGGTGCATGGCCTTTAATAAGAACCAAATCCATGCAAGTTTATTTTATCTTTAATTCAAAAGTAAGCCCTAATTCCTCATTACTTGTAAATTTCTATTCTTCCTCTTTTTTCTCTTAATTTTAATTAAAAGGTTTTTATGAATTAAAAAAAAAATCAGTAATAATACGTATATCATAAGATTCCCAACATCTTAAAAGGGTGGGTGAGCCAATTAATTAATAAACTTTAAATTCCGATGGTAGTAGACCAATAATTTCATACAAATGAATGCAATGTCTCTGCTGCCATTCCCCCCATGTAATGATGTTTATATATCGGAGTAACTAGTAGAGAGGAGAAATAGGAGCTAGCTTCCATGCGTGGTATGCAGTCTCTTGATCCTTGAAGCAGCTTGCTTCAGTCAGCTAACCTGCATTGGAGAAGGCAATCTGAACATCATAGGAGCCCAAGCCCAATGGTCATCCAGAAAATTAACATGGATTCTGCACAATTATTCACCCATCTAATAAGAACCCACGTCAGTCCGTCACGAGCTAGGCTTTCAATTACCACTGACTTAAGTGAGAGTTGAGAGCATGTTGGGCCAAGAAACAACAATTGGTTAGTACTTGGTATCATGATACAACATCACGATGGAAAACCCTGTGGTAGGAATTACTTGCAGATGGCTTCTCTCAAATCTCAATAATAATAATAATAATAATAAATAATAATAATAATAATATTATTATTATTACTATATATTCCTTATTCAATTGACTGAAAAAAAGTCTTTTGCTTTGCAATGAAACTGAGAAAGGAAAGATATTTCTTCAAGTGTAGACTAATTAAAGGGACTGTACCCTAATTAATTAGGCAAATCATCAGTGGAGTAATTAATAAAGCATACTAGCAATGTTAATGTATACTAGCAATAGCATTGTTTCTTGGCTGAAACTTTGGCGATCAATATACGTGTATATATATATATATGTACATTTTATATAACGCTATCTCACAGGGAAGATAATAATTAATTTTCGATGATTAGAAAATATTAATACTTAAAAATAAAATTAAAATTGGGAGGACACAGGTCCCAAAATTAATTGAGAACATGACTACAATTTGGTGTTTTGAGTCATTCAATAAATAAAAAGTGAGTTTTTTTTAGGAATTCGATGAATATAAAAATCGTAGAAATGGCAGAACAAGATTATATATTATATATACTAGGCCAAAAAACAAAAAGAAAGGAGGGACAGATACCAACCAAATGAGATGTATATAGAAAAAAAGGACATTTTGATCATATGACATGCTTAGAACCGAGGTAAAGGGTACAGTGATTGTGTGTGTTGTGCAAACCTAATTAAACTAAAGCAGAAAGAGACAAACCAATATGGCTCATAAGCCATATTTATTAAACTATCCATATGCATAGTAGCAACACTCAAAATCTGATTAGTAATACGAATACTAGAAAACTTGAAAGCAAGAAAAAAAAAAAAGAAGGTAAGGTAAGGGGTGAATTAATTGGTATAGCGTAGGGAAATATAGTTTAAGAAACGAAAAATGGGGGTGGGAAAGGAATAGCATAGCAAAGGGACAAATATGAGGAGAAAAGAAGAAAGGGGGTAAAAAAATTGAAAGAGTAAATGGAGTGCTCAGATAACTTTGTTAAAAGGGAAGGGATGATGTACAGATGCAGTTCAGTGCAGGGTATAGTACCATTATACGCAGATTGGTGGGCTGTCTTCCCGCCATTACCATCATTCCACGTTACCTCTCTTTCACTCTCTCTCTCTCTCTCTTTATCTTAATGAAACGAGTTGCCTTGGTGGTGTTGGTGTTATTTTATGTCATTACAATGCAAGAAATGCTCTTTGTCTCTCTCCTTGGCCAAATTGTTGTTAGCATAATAACATCAATAGAAGAGAAGAGAAGATAAGAGAAGGGGGGTTGTTAATGTTAACCCTGCCTTCTTCTATTAATTACTACTACTTTTAAAGTAATCCTACTAGGTAGCTAGGTAGGACTTGGGAGTAATAATAGGTAGAAAATGTGTTTCTCCATTGTCTTTAAAACTAAGGACTGATAGATATATACATACATGCACTGCACTGCACTATACTACACTGAACTGCATGCTCTCTCCTTTCTCTAGACAATAGAGAGTTTATACATAAAATTAAACCACAATCCATAATTCTGGAACCTCCCTTCACTGTTTTGGTTGTGTTACTGTGTACAATTATAAATTACTAATCCAAACGCAATTTTGTATTTATTTTTCTCAACAAAACAAAGCACTACAGCTTAGGATTTTTCAATTTCACACTGTTTAAAGTTAAATAAGTTAAGCTCTCAAATATATATCAAAATATATATATAACACCAAACCTGTATCAATTCAATTATTTATTATTATCTGCTACTTCAATTCTTTTTCAGAGAGAGAATTATAAAATGGCAAGAGAGAAAAACACTACTAGCAGCGCTAGCTAGTTATTTTATAGCAATATTAATTAATACGAGGAGTGGTGGTGTTACTGTTGAAGAAGAAGAAGAAGAAGAAGAAGAAGAAGAAGAAGAAGGAATGGAAATGGTGGTAAAACCTGCATGGCTAGAGGGATTAATGGCAGAGACATTCTTTGGGGTTTGTGGGGCCCACGAGAATCGCAGGAAGAACGAGAAGAACGTCTTCTGCTTGCTTTGTTGCCTTAGCATCTGCCCCCACTGCCTCCCTTCTCATCGCTCTCACCCTCTCCTTCAGGTTTCATTTACAACCCCTCCACTATTACTCCTTATGATCTTTTGTTTTCATATCAGATACTACCACTCTTCACTACCCTCACTTTAATTTACAATGTTTTGCATCCCCCATAATTCTGCATGTTTCATTCTTTGCTTTTGCCAAAACCCACTTCTTTCTTGCCGCTCACCCTCAATTTCTTTTCTGGGTAATTGAAATTTCTCTGAATTCCATCTCCTCACTTCATTTTCTACTCATACATACATTTCCCAGGTTCTGTTTTTATTCTTTTTTATGGCAGCCTCAACTTCCAACTATTCTAATCAACAAATTGCAATTTTGCACTATACCCCATTATTACCCCTTCTTTCTCTTTCATATAGCCTAATTTTCTGAATCACTTCTCTTCTTATCTTCTTTCATTAGTTACATACCTCAATTCTTTATAATATTTGAAAATTCTGTTGATTTCTGTAATACTGCTACTTTCCAATGCTATCTTATTTTTTATTCTTCAATTCTACCTGGATACTTGTACCAGGAAAAAAATATTTGTCTGGATACAACATCATCAGGCTGTTGTACAGAATTCATGGGCTTTTAATTCTTTCTATTAAGGTCAAAAGAATTTAATTTTAATTCCCGTCCATTCGCTTTTCAAACAGATTAATGCTTCAATTCTTTAATTTAGTTCATTATCTTGCATCTTGGTGAACTCATTCTCGTGGATTTTTCACCCAATTGCTTTGCTTTCTAATGAAAGCTGATAACTAACTAATACTTGTTGTGCCTTCTGGTTTCAATGGCTTCTGGTTCTTCACAGAAAATCTCACTCAAAGCCTTCTTCTAATATGTTGTAGTTTTATTTTTCTCATAAATGTTTTTACTTAGCCAATTGTCTTTTGCATGCAATTGCACTCAATATCTTTTGTTTTTTGTTTTTTTTTTTGTAGAAATGATGTTCTATTGCCTAAAAATATACAACTGAGATTAGTAATTTTTTGCTGTGTAATTTGAATTTCTGCAAATTCATTTCTTAAAAAGATGATGTTCCTTGCTGATGATCAGTCTTTGAATCCTTACAAGAATCTCTAATGCAATTGTTCGTGTTTCAGAATTCAGATTATATGGCTGTGGCAATATTCAAGAAGTGGTTTATCATTTTCTTCCTTGATTCCAACTTTTTTGATTTGGTTTGTTTCCCATATATGGAAGATTTTTTTTTATCCATTTTCTCAGCTGTTGCTTTCAAAGATAGCGAAAGTTTGACCCATTATCTCTCAATTCAATTCTCCAATTATTTTACTACTTTGAAAAAAAAAAAGGTATCATTACCATTCTCAACGTACCCAAATTCATTTTTTTAAAACTGTCGGTTGCTTTGCCTAACATTTCATCTAAACTCCAATTTGGCAGGAAATTAGACTTTACTGTCAATTTAACATGAGTTGTAAAATCAAATTCACATGCTTATTACAATTAAGTTACTTTTATTTAGGCATAATTGAGTTACATTGCTTTGTACTGCTGCTAATCTTTGAGGCTCTAGGCATAAATGTATTGGCAATTAATTGAAATTGAAGTGAATTACCGGAAATGGCTGTCTCTCTCTTTTTTTTTTTTGGTTGTTCTGTAAATTAAGTTGTTTTGGATGTGCATATTTGTTGAGATTTTGATCCCATGTGACAGGTGAGACGATACGTCTACCACGATGTAGTTCGATTGGGTGATCTTGAAAAGCTCATAGAGTGTTCCTATATTCAGGTTATTTTTCAAAATTGAACATAAATTATAGCAGTAGAATGTATACTTGATTATGGATATTATACAAGTGGATGCCAGAGCCAGTGGAACAATAATTGTAATGTGAAAACTATAATTAGTGTTTTGTTGTTTGGCAGCCCTACACCATAAATGGTGCAAAAGTGATATTCTTGAATCAGAGGCCCCAATCAAGGTCATGTAAGGGCTCTGCCAACATTTGCTTCACTTGTGACAGGATTCTCCAGGAGCCATTCCACTTCTGTTCTCTCTCATGCAAGGTCCATAATTTCTTACTTCAGTGTTTGTCCTTTTCAAAACTAAACAAAACAATCTTCTTTTTTCTTTAATAAGCACTCAGCAGCAGCTCCTCCCACCCCCACTGTTTCTAAAATTATATCCTAAGCGCTAAGGTCATTTTTTGGTTGCACTTCTAATTCCACCTAGATAATTTCCTCCTAGGGTTCTTTCTTAATTTAGCTGCAAGCAATCATACTCTTGCAAAAATCCCTCTTGATGGGTTGGATATAATAGCAACAAAATCATCTCTAGATGCTAGTCTCCTACCATATTAAAAATGTGGTTTCCCTCACTAGCTCATCTCCTGTTTTTAATTCCTCCAACTAATCCTCTCTTTTTTCCCTTATGTTAATTAATTTATATGAATTCATAATTCTAATCTCACAGTAGCAACCAGTATAGTACTGAAAGTGCACCAATTTTGCAGGTAAACCACTTGGTGGATCAAGGAGAGGATCTGTCAACCATTTTACATAGTATTGATGAATCAGATTTTGCATTTTCACGATTTGAGGGATTACGAGTGGACGGCCCTGAGCTTGTTGATGATGATCAAATCACTCCAAACTCCATCCTAGAAGACCCTTTGCAATACGATGGATCATCATGTTCCAAGGAGACAGGCAATTCAGAAATCTCACTACGAGACACGGAGGTTGTGAGGAAGAAGAAAAAGGGCAGTGGTTTCCTTGGTGGCATTGTTGTCTCTCTCAGCAACAAGAGGAAGGGTGCACCTCAAAGGGCTCCTCTTTCTTAAAAATCTTGCCAATCAATAAAAATCGAAAAGAGAGATTAAATTGCTCAGCTTACATCTTACTACATGTTCATTAATTATTAGGCACTAGTGGGGTTGCTCATGGTTTAATTGATCACCTTGCTTAATTATGGTTAATATTCTTAGCGAGTGTAGTTCATTTATGGAATTTTCTCTCATTTCATCTCCCTCAGTTTGAATTAGCATGTCCATTACTGACTTCGGTGGCCGGGAGAGATTTTCTCTAAGTGATGGTATAGCCTCCTGACTCCACCAATTTTGTTTCGATGTATTGGAACTTGCGGTATGTATGATATTTATCTTCATCTTAGCTTGAATGAATTGTTGTACTGTTGCTATATATTACTCCAGCAAATCTGCTTTGTCGCGTTTTTCTTTATATGGCTACACTATTTCTCGTGAAATGTTGTATTAGGTTTCAATACACTTGCAACTTCAAAAGCACAATAATTTTATTAACAGTTTATATTTAATAGATTATTAGTGAATTGGATACTTCATTAATAAGTAAATATTAACTCTTAAAATAAATATATAAAAATTAATATTTTTTTTATAAAACTTATGTCATTATTTGATTCATCTTATTAATAAGATAATATCATTTAATTGATTAACAGTATATAAATTTTATATATTGATAATATATTAAATATAAATTTTTTTATTAATAAATATATATAAGAGGATTGAACTGACAATCAAATTCAATATAGAAATATAAACTTTTCATATAAAAGAGGATTTAACAATGTTATAAATTATATATATTGACAGTAAATTAAATATAAAATTTTTATATATACATACATGTATATATATATATAGAGAAGAGGATTGAATTGATAATCAAACTCAATATAAAATCATTCGATGGTGAGGGATTTTTTTTTTTAACCGGAACACTTAATATATTGTAACAAGAATAGGAGGAAACAATCAAACACCACCAGAAGAGAAAAGGCAAGAACATAAACGTTGACTGTTCGAAATGAAGTCCAAAATGATCAATAATCATGTTTATCGATTAATGATCAAAAGTTAATGTGCCATGGGGAAGCAATTAAAAAACAAAATATAATTAGACTCAATCCTATTCAATACAAGTCATTCCCCAATCATTGTGTCATCAAAGGAATTTCCTTTCAATACTTGAGCAGAGCTGCCCAATTTTTATTCAACATTTAATTAACGAACCAAACATTAATTCTAGTACTAGTAATTAAGCGTTGTCAATGGTTTAGAATGGGATATCGGAAGTCAGATGATGAAGCAAAATGAAAATTCCATGTACATATTGCATTGTTTCAGTGTTTCTTTGCCCTTTTTCTTAATTTCTTTGGGTCACATTTTGTATATGGTGTTACTTTGGTGAAGGAAGAGTTAGATATTAATATAAATATAAGATATAGAGTGAGAGATGTGGCAATAGGACAGGGCAGAAGATGCTGAATTGGTCATGCAAGATGCTGTACTGGGATGGTCTTAATACGGTCGTACGCTTTCCTTTTCCATATTCAAAGTTTTTAGCAGACAACATCGCCGGGGTGGACAATAACACCCACACCAACCAACAACATTGAAAGAGAATTGTGTCCGCACTACATTTTGTTTTTTTTTTTTTTATTTTATTTTATTTTATTTAAGATGAGCAGAATCTTATATTAAGGTAAAAAAAAAAAAAAATTAAAATTCGAACTTCAATCTTGATATTTTTTTTAAAATTATTTTGATCATTAAATTAAGTAATTAAAGATATTTTATTTTTTTTACTTTATATATATATATATCATCATAAGTGCTTAGTAATAGTATACAGTTGTAATTGCCTACTTTCATTGTGAATAGAGTGGGTTGAATTGACAAATGTGCAATATTTTGTTCGTAAAAGTTTAGATTTGCTATTCACTGTCAGTAATTTTTTTTCTTTTTTTGTGAATGTAAAATATTTTTTACAGTCTGTGATTTGTCTTAATTCTGAAATAAAAAAACCCGCTCTCACTCTAAACCTTTTTCGACTAAAAAACAATGCTTGTATTAGCTATAAATCTAAAAAATTAAGGGCGAGAGAAATTTCTTTCCCACATTCAATAGTAACTAAAACCCAGCATATTAAAAATGATCTCATTTATATAGGAATATTATATCAGATTAAACAAAATTATATATACAAATCCAATAACGACTGCTTAATTTCTATGTCGAGGGAGACATCTATTTTATTCATCAGAAGAAACGCGGGCAAAGAGAGTAACACTTAATATTAATGTATGTATAAGTAGGGTGGCAGGAGAAGTGGGGATAAGATGAGAAAGGCTGCGGGATGAGTGGGTGTGGCAGTACTGAAGTGATTCCAAAGTTTTTTATTTTCAATTGTGTAAGACGATCACCTAAGTTTTAATGGAAGGCATGCAGCAGTACTACTTCCAAAGGCAAAAATGAAAAGCAGGCTATAGCATTACATTAGCAAGCATTAGAGAGCTTGCTGGCCTGGTTTCAAAATTTGGGCATGAATTGAATAATACTGATCCAACATACACAAGGGTTGTTGTTTTTGTTTGTGTTTGGGAAAATCAAGGGGGCTGGCTGGGAAGTGGTGTCTCACTCGTTCGACACCCGAGGCTCTTGCTCAGCTGCCTGATATTTGTTTAGCTGCACTAAACCCGAGGCTTTTGGTCAGCTTCCCAACCACATGCTCTACCATGTATGGTGACCAGTCTCAAGTTTCAACAAACAAAAATCTTCGACTACTATCACATGTAATAAAAAAAAATTACAAATGGAATGCTAATTATCTTTTTTCTACAATGAGAGACGGATGCATGTAGTTAATTAATTAGTCAAGGTTGATAGATATCGTCAATGTTTTGTGTAATATTGAACAGTTGATGACATGGAAACAGCATTTGTCATACATAGGTTTAGAGTATAAATGATGCAAATTAGCATGTCCAATTAATTATACTATATGTACAAAAACAAAAAAAAAAAAAAATAAAGGTCATGGAATTATTATATATGCCACATGGAAAGTGGTGTATGGTTAATAACATGTGAAGAGGACCACATCAATTGATATCGGAGTCAGATAAATCACATGGGCTGTCACATTCCATCCGGCTCCTATAATAAAAAAGTGTAAAAACCTAGGCACTGACTCCAGGTTTACGTCGCATAACATAACTCTTCTGCAAGACTGCATTAATTTTCCCAAACAATCCTTTATCATAATTTTAACAGGCGTTAATTGATATGAATGTGAATAACAAAAATATTAAATGATCTTAGAACTTAAATAATTTATCTATCTCTTTAAAAGATGAATTTTCGTAAATTCTGGTTACTTGTAAACTTTATCTTAAATCTTATCGTCCTTTGTTAAAATATTTTTTTGATATTTTTTTGAAGGAAAAGAAGAGGGGCTGGCTGGAACAAAGAATAATAAGCAAATAATATGGTAGAGAAAGAGCCCATGGCCAGAAATATGGGCTCCAATGCAGAATTTTGATATTTGCAGAGGCATAACCATGGGCCCATCAATGCGCATTCCAAGGTAACAAGTTTGTTGGCTTTAACAAAAGTCATAGTCGGCATCGTATGGAAAAATTTTTGTTGAAATTAATTTTGAATGTACAAAATTTTTTTATATAATTCAATCAATTTTGTTCTTAAAAAATTAAAGAGTTTATTTGTTAGTGATAATGTGTGTGGCTTCCACGGTGGAATAAGTTGGAGGAAATCTAAAAAGGGCAATGGGCAAGGTGTGATTGATTTGATTAGAGGTATTTGTTTTGTTATCGTAATGATTATGATGTCATCCCACCTGAGAAAAGGGTTCCACATCCAAAACACAAGAGAATAGAGATTCAGGCTGCTGGAGTTGTGTTGCTGGTCACCGTACCCAAACCAGTGTGGGGCTTCTTCTCCTTTTGGTTGTGCTCCACAAATATTCACAATGGCAGAGCATTTTGGTGGGGACTAGGCAACTTCCATTTATATTAATTACTTCAATAAAATCAAAGGTCCCCGCTCTTCAATTGGTCATTTACCCAATTGCCCTGGCTAATGTGTGTGAAATGTTCTTTCTATTTTCCTGCGCGTGGACGGATGCTAGGTTTGCGAGCTTATTCTCCGGCTCATTAGTTGTGTTGAAGTAGGGGAGCAACATGATGTGACCTGCTCTTGCTTTCAGTTGAATTTCCAAGAGTCCAATATTAACTCAGCATGTAACTAACAAGATCAGTAACCAGAAACATTCACTTCAATTATATGGTTAAAAAATCATTTAATAATTGTTGCAATTATAAAAACCCATACGAGTTACTCTAAACTTTCCCTTCTTAACTCTTAATCCCATTTGAACCAACAAAAAAAATAACTCTTAATCCCATTAATTTAAAATAAGACCATAATTTTGCTTCTCATAAGTGTTAATATCACAAATAATTTTAAATTAAAAATTTTTTTTTATGATATCTAAATTATAACTATATTAATTAATATAATACTTAAATGATTATTTATGTATTATATGTTATTATATAAAATTTTTTATATTAAAAATAAATATTATATTAATTAATAAATTTATAATTTATATATTACATTAAAAAAATTTTAAATTTAAATATTATATTAAAATTTTAATTATAATTACTCATTTTCAAAACTAAAAAAGGCGCAGGATGTTGAGATAAAAAAAAAAGGTACTTTAAATAACATGCAACCATTAGGAAGTTGTAAATAATAAATAATTAAGTAGGCAACAAAACTAAAGAATCGAGATCAGGCTGTGTGACCAGGGGAAAAATAAATGGGAGAAATACGGTGTTGTTGTAAATCCGCACAGCATCAAATCAATAGTGGACTGGTTGGTTCTAGTCGCCAATGATTGATATGTTTGCAAAGGTAATAAAATAAAATAAAAGCGTATGGAACAGACTCATCATCAATCCCTACCTGCAAAGTATCTGAGCGGAAAC